ATGACAAGAATGGATATGGGGTGAAGAGTCTGAGCAAGGAGGCAAAAATGATACCAAGGTTGTGATTCTGGGTGACTGGGAAGATGGTGCTGCCCTACACAGAAACAGGGACATTCAGAAGAGGAATGGGGTTGGGGGAAAAATTTGTGTCCTTCTAGCAATTTTTCCCAGTGTCGTCTTCTTAGGTGTTGCTGCTGGGGAAGGTGGGGGTGCTGGAGTCAAGCCAAAAGATTGCCTACTCCTGAAGCTAGACCCCCTAGATGTCTGGCAATGAAAATCTTTCAGTAGAGAGAGAACATTCCCAAAGTGGGCCAGGAAGCAGGGGGACAGACAAAGAGACAGAAAGACAGACAGAATACAATCTCTCCGTTCTAAATTTCCCCTGGGAGCTCACGATGACTTGTTCCTTTACTATAACCAAGCAATGTTCCCTCTCCCCTCATCTACGCTTTCCTCTTTCCTTGGCATCTAATGAAAAATGAGGACAGGGAGGTGGCACGGTGGGTATAGCAGTAGGCCTGGAGTCAGGAAGACTCATCTACCTGAGTTTCAATCTGTCCCCAGACACTTATTAGCTGTATGACCCTGGGCAAGTCACTTTACCCTGTTTGCCTGTTTTTTCAGAAATGGCAAACCATTCCAGTATCTTTGCCAAGAAGACCCCAAAAAGACTCTCTAAAGGGGCTGTTACATATGTTGTCAAAGAACAAATTATAGAAACAATTCCTTTACGAGAATGACAACAATAAGACAATATAGCAACAGTAGTGAGGCACAACAGCAACAGCGAGGCATGGTTGTCTAGCAACAAAAAGTCCATTCACAGCCTATCAGATCTATGGAGAGCACAAGAATTCATGACCAAACAGGAGATAGAGAACACCTACAAAAAGCAAAATGGACAATTTTGATTACATTAAGTTGAAACGTTTTTGCACAAACAAAGCCAATGCAACTAAGATTAGAAGGAAGGTACAAAACTGGGAAAGAATTTTTACAACAGTCTCTCTGATAAGGGCCTCATTTCCAAAATATATAGAGAATTAAGACAAATGTATAAGAACACAAGCCATTCCCCAATTGATAAATGGTCAAAGGATATGAACAGGCAGTTCTCAGATGAAGAAATTAAAGCCATCTATAGTTATATGAAAAAATGCTCTAAATCACTATTGATTAGAGAAATGCAAATCAAAACAACTCTGAGGTACCACATCACACCTATTAGATTGGCTAACATGACAAAACAGGAAAATGATAAATGTTGGAGAAGACGTGGGAAAATTGGAACATTAATGCATTGTTGGTGGAGTTGTGCAATGATCCAACCATTTTGGAGAACAATTTGGAACTATGCCCAAAGGGCTATAAAAATGTGCATACCCTTTGACCCAGCAATAGCACTTCTAGGGCTATATCCCAAAGAGATCATACAAATGGGAAAAGGACCCACATGTACAAAAATATTCATAGCAGCTCTTTTTGTGGTGGCAAAGAATTGGAAATTGAGAGGATGCCCATCAGTTGGGGAATGGCTGAGCAAGCTGTGGTATATGAATGTAATGGAATACTACTGTGCTATAAGAAATGATGAACAGGCCGACTTCAGAAAAACCTGGAAAGACTTGTGTGATCTGATGCTGAGCTAAGTGAGCAGAACCAAGAGAACTTTGTACACAATAACAGCTACGTTGTGCGATGACTAATATTGATAAACTTAACCCTTCTCAGCAATACAAGGATCTAAGACATCTCCAGAGGCCTCAGGATGGAAAATGCTACCCACATCCAAAGAAAGAACTATGGAAGTTGAATCGCTATCATTTTTTTTCTCTTCTGTTGAGTTCTGTTTCCTCTTTCTGATGGTTCCTCCTACTGGTTTTAATTTTTACTTACAACTTCACTAATGTGAAAATATGTTTAATAGGAATGTAAATGTATAGCCTATATGAGATTGTGCGCTGTCTTGGGGAGGGTGGTGGGGAGGAAGAGGGAGAAAAATTTTAAACTCAAAAGCATATGGAAGTGATTGTTGATAAATCAAAATAAACTAATAAAATTTTTTTTTTAAAAGTCCATTCATGGCAGTGCTTCATGTCTGGATCTGTTGGTGTTTGCCCAAGCTCAGGGACCATCAGTTCCAGAAGGTGAGCGCAAAGGATTGTTGTTATGCCAAGCTCAGGGCACAGCTTTCTTGCAGAGCCACAGTTCTAGAAAACATGGAGTTTCCTAATATCTTGACATTGCTCACACAGCCAGTATGTGTCAGACACAGGAATGCAAGTCTTCTTGGCCAGCTCTCTAGCCACTATCCCAAAGTCCTCAGGCCTAGGAAATTATCAGAGATTAAATGGAGAGAAAAGAAAAGTAAGCAGTAGTCCAAAGCGAAGGCTTTATACTAGTAAAGAAAGGAGGAAAGTCATTTTTTGTTTCCCTCTGAACAAAATGGTAGCTTGAAATCTCAAGATGAGGTTGTATACCCCACTTCTCTAGTCCTTCCTCTGCCAACATGAAGGGGCAAGGGAAAGAGGAGAGTTCTATTCTTCCTCACTATGAGGTTTCCAAGCTGCCTAGCTTGGAAAGTTTCTGCAAGAGCTGGGGCTGTAGTTATAGCTAGGCTTTGCTGCTGTCCATTCGAGATAGAGACCACATCTTAGACCAGCATGAAGCTTAAACCCCAATCTGTGCTGCCTCTCCTAATAGCTACATGCCCACAGTCCCATAAATCTAGTGATGTGCAAATGCAAGAAAGCTTAAACATCTGTGGATCTTTCCATTCCTCCCTCCACAGCTGGTTCTGTAGCACAATAGGCCAGCTTTGCTTTGGGGGAGAAAGGATTACAACAGGATGATAATCCTCCTATAAATATATGTATGTATATATAAATATATATATATGTGTGTGTATATATATACATATATATGTGTGTGTGTGTATATATATAAATATATGTATATATACACACACACACATATATATGTATGTATGTATATATATATATACATGTATGTGTATATGTATATATATACACATATATGAGGTTACCCTGCCTGCTTCCCCACGCAAGGGATGAGGGTTCCCCAAAAGGCTTCATTTTAACTCTAATGGGGGTTTAGCATGTGTGGAAATATCATTGGCTTGTCAGGTGACATGTCCATGTGAAAGACTCTAGAGCGCTGCTTACAGGAAAATTGATGATGTGGCAGGGAAGTCCGTGGAAAAGACTGGAGCATCTATGGATAATCTGGAACCAGTTCTGATTGTTCTACCCCACATGTGGTTGGGAAGGACCTTTATCCATTGGCTGCATAGCTGGAATTGCCAACATCTTCCAAAGAGCCTGAGCCAACATTTGCTATCTCTTTGCTACGTCTGATCTGGGGAAGCAAAGTTAACTCCTTCATTACAGCTTCTCTACAGAGACCAGGAAGTAAGGAGGAAGGCCTTAAGCACTCTTTCCCTCTCTGAGGCTGGATGACCCCCTGAGAAACAGGCCTGGGTCTGATGGGGTACTTGGGTGCTTCTGCTTATACTTGGACCCCAATTTCTCCCTAGTCTCAGAAACATTGTCTCTGACAACCACTCCCCAACCCAAAGACACTGTGCCTAGCAGTTATTCACGCATGGGCCCCAGCACGATCCTTATCTCTCTCCCTGGTGCAGCTACACAGAGCTGGGCGAGAGAGTGCTGGGCTGCTCAGGCCCCAGCCCTCAGATCATGTCTCTGGAAGCCTCCCAATTCCTTAGTAAGTTCCTGTCTTGTGCGAAAGCTTTCCCTTGTTGCAGAGCTTTCTCTTATCAAGACAGAGGGAGAGGGGTACCTTGCCCAGCCCAAGGAGTTTTGTTCTTGGCCAGCCCAAGGATTCTTCCTCCTGCCAGACTCCCAAGATCCATACCTCTATCATCTCCCTCCCTGTTCAGTATACTCCCTGTACTTCCTCATCCATAACTCCCAAAGACACCTGGACCTTTAGGTTACCTCATCAGTGTCCCTGGCATTCCTTTCCCATGCCCTTTTCCATATAAACCCTAGCTCCATCCTCAGTCTCTTGAAGGTTCCTTAAGAATCCTTGCCCACTGAAAAGCATAATAATAAATCTTTGCCACCTTGACTTAAAGAATGCTTGCATCTGTGAATTCATTCCAGACAACCCGGTCTTTGAGGGCTCTCAACCTCTCAGACCTCAACAGGTCCTTGGTCTTTTTCTTCATTCTTTTCTGTTCAAGGTGCAGGGAGTAAAGTCTCTGACCTCAAGGGTTTCAAAGGACATTAGCATGAGCCACAGGAATCCGGAAGTCCAAGAATCCATGCTGATGGTTGCAGCCAGATCAGCCTCAGTGTCCTAAGCACAGAACATCTGGAGTAACCTTTGGAACTCCGGGACAGCAGAAGCCATATCTGTTTTATGACCATGGCACCTCTGAATGGGGATTTGGTGGGACCAATGTTAAGTAGGAAATGAGCTAAGTTTCAAGCCTAATAATCTCTCCCACCCTCCCTAGAGACTAAAGTGCTATAGGGGTAATTATGCTCCTCAAGGTGTTGGGGAAAATGTTGGAACATTTGTTATTGCTACATTTTTGAAGAAAATAGCCATTTGCAAAAGATATTTGATGTTAAGCAATCAAATGGAACTGAGATGCTGGTTGGTAAGCACCTAAAATTAGGGGGAACACAGCCAACAGAAGAATCAAGCTAATATCAGAGAAGCCCCAACCCCCTTCGGGGTTACCTGAGAACTTTGGTTAGGGGTAGAGGGGAGAAAAAGGGAGGCATGTATCATGCCTACATAACCAAGAACATTCTTCCAAGCCCATATATTCCAGGAAACAGAAGAAGAAAAATGTCTACCACAATGGCAAACACCACAAATGCTTTATAAACATTTAATGTTGTCTTCCTCCTCACATGGTTGGATCAACAGCACAGTGATACTCAATCAATAAACATTTATGTGGCAGGCTCTTGACTGAGTCCTGGGGATACAAATACAAAAAACAAAGACAGTCCCTGGCATCAAGAAGCTTACAATCTACTGGCAGAAGACCACATACAAAAAGAAGCTGATGAGGTAGAGTCCTGAGGCTTATGGGATCTTGCAGGATGATGAAGTTTCCCCAATAGTAGGTTTCCTGAGGCATGGTGAAAAAAGTCAACAAACAGTTGTGTGCAGGTACAAGCTTTAGGTTGGACAGCTTCCCTGCCTTCAAGGATCTCACAGTCTAGTAGGGATATTTAACATAGTCATAAATAGCTATACTGCACAATACTACACGGTAAAGCATAATGTAAGTATGAGAGAGAAGGCTTTTGCCAGCCAGAGTGGGAAAGGGAAGCCTTTCCTGGAGGTGACATTTAAAAGTATGGTTAGGAATTCAGTAACCAAAAGTGAGACAAAGGGGCCAAACGTAGGGAAAAATTTGAGCAGAGGCTCAGTGTTGGGAGGAGAGAGGGCTTGGGGTTGGGGTAGGAGGAGATGGGCAGGAATAGTCAAAACTGTGCACTATGGTTGGAAGGTATGGTTTGCAGGAGTCATATTGAGATAAGACCAAAAAAGTCAAATGCCTCTAAATTACGGGAAATCATGGCAGCCAGAGGAAACAAAAGGGAGCTTCTGAAAGTTTTTGGATATTAACTCCTTTGTTTAGTTTAAGTCAAGAGAGCAAGCATTTATTAAGTATATGAGTCAGAAAAGAAAGACATTCTCTGCCCTCAAGGAGCTTACAGTCTAATGAGGGAAAGATAACCATATAAAAGGAAACTGAAGGGGGTAGGGGAGATGGAGACAGCAGTACCCTCCCATAGGTTGAAGGAGCAAATGTGGCTCTTTCCTTAAAATGGAGGGGCTGGAAAAAAGTGATAAAGGGGCTAAAGGCGAGAAGGACTATTCCAGGGTGAGAAGGCTGCTGAATCAAGGTGGAGCCCCATAAGACCTTGTCAGAACCTATTTCTCCAGCTTCATTAGACATTTCTCCCCTTCTGGCATGCTAGGATGATTCAACCAAAGTAGATTCCCCACCCTGAGTTACACAGGACACTCAATCTCCCTTCACTCCACCACCCTTCTGATCTTACTTGTCACTGCTTATACCTATCTTAGATATAAGAAGCTAAAAAGAAAATCACTGATCATCTATTGAACATGTGATTTTGTTATTTTTATGTCACGTGTCCCACCCTCCCCAACATGGTGTAGTAGGGGGCAAATATGACATAAAAATAATAATTCAAAATAATATGTTAAATAGACAACGAGTAACTTTTCTTTTGGGGGCTGCTAGATCGCCCAGTGGATATTTTTGTACCTTTGTATTGATGGTCCACCATGCCTGGTGTGCATCTTCACTCCCTCCAACTTGCATGCATACAGGCCCTGTCTCTTCCTTTGAGATGCACCATCTTCTGCCTGAAGACTTTTCATGCTCCTCACTGCTAGTTTCCTCCCTTCCAAACAATTTTGCTGCTGTTATTATTTAGTTGTTTTTCAGTCGTATCTGACTCTTCAAAGTGACCCCAATTGAGATTTTCTTGGCAAAGAGACAGGAGTGGTTTCGCATTTCCTTCTCCAGCTCATTTTACAGATGAGGAAACTGAGGCAAACAGGGTGAAATGATTTACTTCAGGTCACACAGCTACTAAGTAGGCTAAATTTGAACTCATCTGATTACCAGCCCTTCACTCCATCCACTATCCTACCTAGCTGCCCCTACTTTGTACTTTAAGGTGTCCCTAAAGTCTTAGTGCAGTTTTAAGCTATTAAAGCATAAAACTCTGTATACTTTGCATATATTCGTATTTATTCGCTTTATATGTTATTTACCTATGTTTGTATAGTTGTATAGGTACTTGTCTTACCCCATTAAATTTCGGATAGGAATTGTTTCATTCCTTCTGCTCGTATTCTCAATGCATGGCACACAGCAGGCTTTTAATGTTTATTGATTGGATCCCCAGCGCCCGGCGAGGTGCCTGGAACACAGTAGGTTCTTAATAATTCCTTGTTAATTGACTAATTATTCTAACAGCCTAGTGCAAAGCGGATAAAGTTTCACTTCCCCAGTACATAAATAGGCCACCGCGTTGATGAACCTTGGCCTACCACCACGACTCCAGTGGACCCACCATAAACATGTTCCCGAGTCAGGGCAAGCCTAACCGGAAACTTAGAACCCCTCCAGCTCCTCCCTAGCAACCGTTGCTAAGGGAAGGCGTGGCCCTCGGAGGAAGTCGACTCTACGCCTGCGCGATACTTTCTTCGACCCCAGGCGCCTGCGCATGCTTGGAGGGCGGAAGACGTGGACTGCAACATGGGGGATCCCGAGCCAGAATCGGAGCAGATTCGCCTGAAGTGCATACGGCAGGACGGTTTCTTCACGGTGCCTCCGGAGGACAGGGTGCGTGTGTGTGGGATATCATGCGGGCCGGCGCTGCTTTCCCTCAGCCTGCCGCCCTGTTGGGTGTTGGCTTGTGCTTCCTTGGCAGAACTACAACTCCCAGAGTTCCTGTCGGCAGGCGCGGGGAGTTGGGGGGATCGCGTCAATTTCCCGCGGAAGCAGTGTAGTAAAGATTGGACCCTCCCTCTCCCTGAAAACCACCTCTTTTTTTACTCCTAGAAATAAATTATAAATTTTAAAAAACCATCCCTGGTCTTTATTGATCATCTAAGGCCAATTCTCCACATTTTACACAGGGGGAAATTGAGGCCCAAAGGGGGAAGGGCATATGGGAGGAAGCAGGACTAGAACTCTGGTCCTGGTCTTCTAATCCATATCCCTTTCCACTATGCCAGGTTGCTGTTTTAAAAAAATATAGATATTGTTTTGCATAATTTCACATGTGTAGTTGAGATTATTGTTTTTCTTCTCAATCGGTGGAGGAGGGACCAGAGGGAGAGAATTGAGAGCTCAAAAAATTTTAAAGTATAGTTATATATTTATCTTATGTATAATATATTATTATATGTTATATATAATTTAATACATTAAGTATCATACATATAAATAGATTTATGGAGCACATTGTTTTCAGACCTCTCAACAGAAAGCTACATTCAGGCCCCTGTGGAAATGAGGCCATGTGGGCACGTGTGTCCTGTTTCCTTCCCCAAATACTTTTTTTGACAGGACTAGAGAGGTTCCAGCTGGAATTGGGAATGTGAATTTGGGTGGGCTTTATTCTATGGACCAAGCAGCAGGGAAAAGAAATGAATCCAGTTCTGTTCAAGAGCATTTATTAAACACCTGCAGTGCACAGAGCAGGATGCTACCAAAAATTAAAAAGTTAAGCAATGAATTCAGTCCCTGCCCTAGTATAGTTTATAATCTTGAGGTATCAGGATTTGAGTGGCTGGGATCTATGACTCCTCTTACAAAAGAGATCTGCGACTCTTTTGCAACTCAGAATTGTCCAGGACCACAAAGAGACAGAGGAAGGCTGTCTCTAAGGCCAAAAGAGAGGTTTTAGAGCTAAATGAAAAGTTTTGTTCAGTAATTTCAGTTGTGTCTAACTCTGTATGACCCTGTTTGGGGTTTTCTTGGCAAAGATACTGGAGTGGTTTGCCATTTCGTTCCTCCATTCCTTCCTGCCATTCCTTCTCCAGCTCATTTTACAGATGAAGAGACTGAGGCAAGTGGGTAAAGTGACTTACCCAGGGTTATACAGCTAGTGAGTGTCTGAGGTCTGATTTGAACTCAGGTCTTCCTGATTCCAGGACCAATGCTGTATCCACTGGGCGATCTAGTAGGCCAAAAAGAAAAGTTATTCGTTGTCGGTTTAATATATTATTGAATTATTATTTTTATGTCATATTTGCTCCCTACTATACCACATTGGGGGGTGGGGGACATGTGACATAAAAATAACAAAATCACATGTTCAATAGATGATCAGTGATTTTCTTTTTAGCTTCTTATATCTAAGATAGGTATAAGCAGTGGTAGGTAAGATCACAGTGGGGAAGGTAAAAAGCCAATACAGCCTGAAGTGGTCAGAGGCTTCACTGAGGAAATTGTCTTTGGATTTGACTTTAAAGAAAAGGTAGGAATTCAGCAGGGAAAATGGCATCCCAGGCATAGGGAACATGGTAAACAAAGACACAGTGGTTGAACAGTGTGATGGATGTCCTGAGCATATTTGGCTGGATTGTATGTAGAAAAGAACATGATAAAGAACATGAGATGAATGTGAAAGTAAGTTATGGTAACACTGGATTGTGGAGGGCATTGAATGCCAGGCTTAACAAATCTTCTCATCTATAGTTGTCAATCCCCAAGGAGAATAGGCAGCTAAGTTCAGGGCTATATAGGTCTCAATAGAAGCTATACCTGGAACACCTTTTCCCTAGGCTCAGATGGGCTGATTTTTGGCAGGATTTGCCAAGGGAAAGAGCTGGAAATGTTTTTTGTTTGTTTGCTTGCTTTTGGAGGCAGTCAAGGTTAAGTGACTTGCCCAGGATCACATAGCTAGTGTCTGAGGCTGGATTTGAACTGAGGTCATCCCGACACCAGGACCTATGATCTGTCCACTGTGCCACCTTGCTGCCCTGAGATGTTTTGATTCTTACCTCTAAAGGGAAATACCAGCCTGTGTATTCATGTTCCAGACAGGATAACTATCTTGTCAGATTCTTAATATGTGTAATCGTTTTATTTCTGATTTGTTGTAGATTCAGGTGTGAATTGGGCTAGGTGATCTCCAAATTTGAGATTCTATTGTATTTGGCAACAGGCTAGCCTTCGATTATTCTATCTAGTAGCATACCCTGGATTCCTTTACTTGTAATGAGGGTCCCTTGGCCAACTTTTTCTGGCATTTTATTTTTGTTTTGTCGGTCCTTCTGGTACCCTCCAGCCCCAGTACTGACCTGCTGCTGTGCCCTGCTTGGCTGAAAGGTAGCCTTACTTTAACAGGATCACCATAGGAGAAGGCAAATGAGACTTGCACTCTGAATGAGCTACTCGGGTGTTTACATTGTCCATTGAGTATTATTGGCTGTTCAGATGAGCTACCACCTCTTCCTCTCTACTTGCAGCTGGGACAGTGTCGGAGCGTGAAGGAGTTTGAAAAGCTGAATCGGATTGGGGAAGGCACCTATGGCATTGTGTGTAAGTATGGGCTCACTGTTGGCCAGGAGTCCGGCATGGAGACCTGTAAACTTTGTTACCTCAGCAGCTCTCCGTCTAGATGAGAGAGCTAAGCAGGGTTGGGATGGAAAGGGGAGCTGTTACTGGTGTTGGCTGGGCTAGCAAAGAAGACAGCCAGAAGGCCGGAGTTATGAGAGCGAAGAAGAGTACGTGTTGGGGGAAAAGATCATCCTGGACTCTTGAGTCTCACTTCCCCTGCCCCCTGACATCTGATCAGTTGTCCAGTCTTGTCAGTTCTTCCTCCACATCTCTCCACTCACACCACCAGTACCCTAATTCAGACCCTTAGCACCTCTTGTCTGGACTGTTACAGCATCTTCATTCAGTCTACCTTTCCCTTCTCTAATCCAGCCTTAGTTCAGCTGCCAGTCCCCAAAGCAAAGGTCTGACCATGCCAGTGCTTGCCGAAGAAGCTTCAGTGGCTCCATGTTACCTCCAGGATCAGACTCCTCTGTTTGCCATTTGGGGGCCTTCACCCTCTCTCTCCAGCCCGTCTTCCCAGGCTGGTTGCCCACAATTTCCCTTCCTGCATTCAGCATTTCAGCCAGACTGGTTGCTTGCTGTTCCCCTTCTGGGACCCTCTGTCTCCTGTTCCATGATTTTGCATAGGCTGCTGCCTGTACATGGGATGCTCTCTCTCTGCGCTTCTCCTTGACAGCCCTACTTCCCGTTAATGTCAACTCAAGTGCCATTGTGTATAAGAGGCCTAACTGTTGGTGCCTTCTCTCCTCCATTACTTTCTATTTATATGTGTTTATCTGAGTGCATGTCATCTCCCCAGTAGAATGTTAGGCCACTGAGGGCAGGACTGTTTCATTCATGTCTTTGAATCCCCTGCTCCTAACAAATAGCAGGCACTTGCTGGCTTGGCGTGAGTCCCGATGAGAGATGCAACATTCCAATGTCCCTGGTGGTATCTGTGTTAGAACAGGTTAGGAGAGTACTCAGGGCTGTGGCTTTGTGTTTCCCATGGGTCTGTTGCCATTCCAGATCGGGCCCGAGACACCCAGACAGATGAAATTGTGGCCCTGAAGAAGGTTCGGATGGACAAGGAGAAGGATGGTGAGGTGGGGTGAATGGTTGCCAGAGACCTACTCAGTGCCTTCAAGGGAAACATAGGAATGAGGCTGTTTTAGAAATACAAAGCATCTGTGCTTCTAATTGGGAGCCAACATCGAATAGTCCTGAAAAATCCTCAGTAAGAGGGAGGTGATGCAACGAGCCCTGGGCAGAGAGTCTAGACACCAGATCTAACTTAGCCATATTTATAGGAAAAGCAGAGTAGATTAAGAATATTACTTGCTATTCTAAAAGCCAGCCTCTTTGTTATATGTTCATTTGCTTACATAAACAATTAAATGATGTAGGGTAGGAGACCTTAAGATGATAGAATTCAGAGAATTCAAGAAGTTATTTAGTTCATTTTGCTGCCTCCAGGCAGAACTGCATTTAAATGGAGAATTTATGTTCCACATTGTTTCTGCAAGGATCCAAGCTCATCAGTTAACACTCTTCCATTGACAGTTGTGACAGAGTTCAGAAGTTGATTGGAACAAAATGTCTACTACTGTAATCTTCACTCCAAATTAAATCAGTTTCCTTTTTTTCCCCAGGAATATGCAACATGTGATAGCTTATCTATTTTTTAAAAAAGCATCTGGAAAGTCTTATAAAGTTTCGTGTTTGGCTCTAGTTAATTTATCTTAAATGTTTATCACTGAAAAATTTCTCAAGTTGATCTTCTAATCCCAGCTAATTAGCTTTTTGAGCCAGCATCAGTCACTAAATGTCTCAGAGTGTAATAGGGCCTGCCTGCCAACCACACACAGTTGTGAAGTTCAAATTCAGCACTCTGCAAACTGTGAAATGCTGTGCTGAGCTGAGGGCCAGTCATACATCGAGCATTGGTGTTTGACTTAGCTGCCAGGTGTTCTTTGCCAATTAATTTATTTTTAATTTTTGACTAGGTAGAGGCCATTCCCTGACTCAGTTCTTATTAAGCCTTAATCACTGAAAGGCGAAGCCTCAGTCCAACTGACCTGGGAAAGACCTTAGCTTAAAAAGGCCAAGGCCCCCCACTTCATCCTGGGCCATCTCTAGTCTCTCTGATCTGTATCTGGCCACTGGGCCCAGGCGGCTCCGGAGGAGAGAGTGAGACTGGTGACTCTGCACAGCCCTGCCTCACTTACATCCAATTCACTTGCATGTCGTGGCATCACCCTCTGAGGTCCTGGTCCTCTTCCACAATGAAGGAGAAACAGTAACAACTTGAGACAGGGAGGATTCAACAAAACACAGGTTCCCTCGGTAGAGGATGAGGAGGGAGGGCCTCCACTCCAGTCTCAGGAGGGGCTGTGTGAAGCTTGTGTCGTTGCCCAGCCGGGAGCTAGGAGAGAGGCGGGGCTCAGGAAGGGGAGGTTTGTTGCGCACGGCCAGCGGCCCGAGTGTATCGTTTCCTTGGGGCAGGGATCCCCATCAGCAGCCTCCGGGAAATCACATTGCTCCTTCGGCTTCGTCACCCCAACATCGTGGAGCTGAAGGAGGTGGTTGTGGGAAACCACCTGGAGAGGTAAACACCCCTGGTCATCCTTACCCCTGGGGGTACAACACCCCACCCCTCCCCCATTCCCTGCTCAGTCCTGCTTTCTGCTCCCAAGCTGTGATTTTTCCCTTCCTTCTTCTCTCTTTGCTTTCTTTGACCCTCAGCCTTCTCTCTCAAGGGTTGGCCCTTTAGAAGGACAGAGTGGCATCAAGTCACTGTGTCCCCTTTTGTCTCTCTTCCAGCATCTTCCTGGTGATGGGTTACTGTGAGCAGGACCTTGCCAGCCTCCTGGAGAACATGCAGACACCCTTCTCAGAGGCTCAGGTATGTGTGGGCTCTGGTCACCTTTATTCTTGGTGTTAAACCTTCTTCTGCTTGCTCTGCTAGTGACTGGGGCAGAACCGTGCACCTTGGGGAAGCCTGTGCCTCCCTGGAGAGTTCATTCACTTCGGATAGCCAACAGGCATTAAGTGCCTACTGTATGCTAGGCACCAGACATACAAAGAAAAAAAAAACCATCCCAGTCCCTGAACCTAAGGAGCTTAAATTTGTATTGAGAGAAAGCAGATATGAACACAGATAAGCCAATGTAAGGTATATACAATGTAATTTCCAGGGGAGAAGAAAGTAATAACTGGGGAAATCAAGGTAGGCTTCTTGTAGTAGGTAGCCTTTGGCCTGAGCCTTGAAGGAGAAGGATTCTAAAGGCAGCTGACTGGTGGGACTTGTACCTTTAGAGATGCAGGAAGAATTTATCCAGTCATTGGACAAGTATTTATTAAGTAATTTGCATGGGACCTTATAGGGAGTTGGTGGGGGGGGTTCAGAGACAAAGGGGAAAGAGTCCCACCTTAAAAGAGCTCACCTTCCAAGGGCTTTAGAGAGCGTTCACTGAATTGACTGAACCGCCATATTCTTCTTTGATGGTTCCTGTTCTTTTCCCCATTGCGGCCCCTTATTCTCCTTCCTTTCCTCTGGTCCCTGGCCACTGTCCCTTTAGATATCACCTGTAGTTCTCTAGCTGGGCAGTGTGGGAGTTATCAAGTGGCCCAGAGCCCAGTGTTAGGGCAGAGCATGAGGATCTTCCCTCTTCCTGTGACCGGGAGCCCTTCCTCAAGCCCCCAAAACGACTGACCTGCAGCTCTCTGAGGTGGACTTGTTATCATTCATTGGCTCTTTCCCTATTCTCACTCTTACAGGTAAAGTGTATCATTTTGCAAGTCCTCAAGGGCCTTCAATACCTGCACAAAAACTTCATCATTCACAGGTGAGGGGCAGGGGAAGGCTGAGAGGTCTGTAGGAGGCAGGTTCTAGAAGGAAAGGGTGTGAAGACCTAGACTTAGACAGACTCAGCTGGAAGAGTATTGGAATCCTGGGTGGATTCCCTCCCTCCTCCACCACGATGGTGATCCAAATGTAGGCAGGGCTTCTTAATCTTACTTATGTCGCAAACCCTTTGGGTAGTCTGGTGAACCCTGTGGAACCCTTGTCAGAATAATGTTTTTAAAGGCATCACATACATAACATTACAAAGGAAACCAAATATATTAAAATACTGCTATTAGGACAGCTAGGTGGTGCAATGGATAGAGCACCGGGCCTGGAGTCAAGAGGACCTGAGTTCAAATCCAGCCTCAGACTAGCTGTGTGACCCTGCACAAGTCACTTAATCCCAATTGCTATCCCCCTAAAAAAAGAAAGTTATCAAAATATTTCAAAAAACAAGTTCACAGACTCCAAGTTAAGAACCATTGATCCGAGGAATAGACAAATAGAGACCAGCTCCAAGCCAAGAGCCAGGTGCCTTCACATCTTCAGCCCGGAGGCCCCAACGCTTGAAAGGGCCATCCTTCTCATCTTGGACCGGTCACTGAAATTGGCTTCCCTGGGCATGACTAACTGGTGTCTTTTCTTGCCGTGACAGGGACTTAAAGGTTTCTAATTTGCTTATGACAGATAAGGGCTGCGTTAAGACAGGTGGGTATCTGTATGTTTCCCTGGAACCATGGGGTGGGTGTGTGTGTACACATGTAAACACCTGAGCCTCTCAGACATTGGCATCCCCCTGGCGTTCTGTTTCTTTGTTTCTTGTGCACCAAGCAAGAAGTTACTGAACGCTTGCCAAGCACTTAACTCCTCTGTCACATTTCTGTCCCCTTTTTTGGCAGCTGATTTTGGCCTGGCTCGGGCTTATGGTGTTCCTGTGAAGCCAGTGACCCCCAAAGTGGTCACCCTCTGGTGAGTCAGCCTTGAAGATAACTTCCCACTCCAGAGTCTAGGAGAGGAGGGGTAATGGGAGAAAGGGGAAGGGAAGGGAATGAGCATTTCTGTGGTGCCTACTGTGTGCCTGGTATTATCTCATTTGATCCTTACAACAACCCTGTGAGATTGGTGCTATTGTGATCCTTAGTTTTACAGTTGAGGAAACTGAGGCAAACAAAGGTTAAGTGACTTGTCCAGGGTCACATAGATAGTGTTTGAGGGGGAAAGGCTGCTTTCTGGACTTCTCTGAAGGCCTGTTTCCAACTGGGCCGGTCACGTTCCCCCAGACAGGCCATATACTGGAGCTGAAAATGTCAGAGGACTTGGAAGGGCATGCAGATTCAGAGATTCTGGGATTGCCATTGCATACAAAAGTCTGCAGGGCCATTTGCAAAGGCAGAGCAGGTCTACACGACAGAGAAGACTAGCTAGTCATCAGGGTTATCTTCTGTTAATCCAAGTAGAGGTCAGTGAATTGTCTGTGCTGTGGGGTGAGCCAGCCCAGAACCTGTTGGTATTTACCCTGGAAAGGGTCTTGGCAAGGAAAAAATCACGTAAACAGACCAAAAGTTCGGTCTCATTAACAGCCACGGGGAGCTGGTTTTTCCTAGTAATATATTTTTCAAGATTTGTGCCCCATCATCCTCTGAAAGGAGTTGGGATAGGTACTTCTCTGGTCATGCCTGAAGTTGGCCAAGATTGGGGGCCCTCTGCACTGTTGCTGTGGCCACCACCCTTCGTGGGCTCTTGGGGGGAGAGTGAAGTAAGCATAGCCAGTACGCCACCATCTTTGTATGGGAGGTGCACCATTTGGCTCTAAGCTGAGCCCGCGTGGGTGGCTGATGGGCTTGTAAAGAAAATCATCTGGGGGGGGCAGCTAGGTGGCACAGTGGATAGAGCACTGGCCCTGAAGTCAGGAGGACCTGAGTTCAAATCCGGCCTCAGACCAAACACTTGGCACTTACTAGCTGTGTGACCCTGGGCAAGTCACTTAACCCCAATTGCCTAAAAAAATAAGAAAATAAAAGAAAATCATCTGGGTAAGAAGATTCTGCAGCAGCCATGCTCATTCTTCCTCCTCCTGGGAGTGGCCAGTGCCTTGTTTACAGGGCCAAAGGAGAGACACTTGATCAACCCTCTCTAATGGATAGGTAGATTAAAGCAGATGAATCAGTCAACTAATAAACATTTATTAAGTGCCTACTATGTGCCAGGCACTGGGCTGAGCCCTGGTGATACACAAAAGCTACAAAAGATTGTCCCTGCCCTCAAGGAGCTTACAGTCTAATGGGGGAGACAACACACAAACAAATGTGTACAGAGCAAACTTATATACAGGACAAATGGGAAATAATTAAAAGAGGGAAAGCACTAGAATTAAGAGGGGTCAGAGACGGCTTCCTGCAGAAGGTGGGATTTGAGTTGGGACTTAAAGGAAGCCAGGGAGGTCAGGAGGCAGAGCAGAGGAGGGAGAGCATTCCAGGCATAGAGGACAGCCAGAGAAAATGGCCAGAGCTGAAACGGAGGGTCTTGTTCATAGAACAGCCAGGAGGCCAGTATCACTGGACAGAAGAGTCCCTGATGGGGAGTAAGGTGTCAGAGGACAGGAAAGGTGGGAGGGGGCTGGGTCATGAAGGGCTGTGAATGCCAGACAGAGCACTTCGCATTTGATCCTGGAGGCAATAAAAGTTACTGTTTATTGAGCAGGAGTGACAGGATCAGACCTTTGCTTTAGGAAAATCACTTTGGTGGCAGAGTGGAGGGAGACTTGAGGTAGGCAGAGCCACCAGCAACTATTGTAATAAGCAAGGTGGGACATGATGAGGGCCTGCACTGGAGTGATGGGGAAGGGGCCAAGAACAGGGCCTGTTTGAGAGGTGTCACAAAGGTCAAATCAATGGGCTTTGGCAACTGCTTGGATGCAGGGTTGGGGGGTGAGAGAGAGTGAGGAGTCCAGGGTGGCTTCTAGTCTCTGAGCCTGAGGGACTGGGACGGTGGTGTTGCCCTCTACAGGAATAGGGAAGGTGAGGGTTGGGGGGAGGGTTCCATTTTGGACATGCTGAGTTTAAGATGTTTACTGGACACCCAGCTCCAGATGTTTGAAAAGCAGTTGGATATGAGACTGGACGTCAGCAAAGAGATCGAGGCAAGATAGGTAGATCTGTGAATCAGCAGCACAGAAATGGTAATTAAATCCATGGAAGCTGAAGAGAAGAGAGAGCGCAGGACAGAACCATGAGGGACACCTGTGGTTAGAGGGTGTGATCTGCAGGAGGATTCAGCAAAGGAGACAGAGAAGGAGCAGTCAGAGAGGTTAGGAGAACCATGGAGGGGGGGATGTCCTGAAAACCTAGAGGGAAGAGAGTATCAAGGGGGAGAGAGTGATCAGCAGTGTCAGAGGCTGCAGAGAGGTCAAGGAGAATGAGGACGGAGAAAAGGCCACTGAATTTGGCAGCTAAGAGATCATTAGTAACTTTGGAGAAAGCAGTTATCGGTGGAATGATACGGTCAGGAGCCAGATGGAAGGGAGTGAGAAGGGCGAAAGTGGAGGTACCTACTGTAGATGACCTTTTGGAGGAGTTTAGCTGCAAAGGGCAGAGGAGATGTAGGACAGTCGTTAGCAGGGATGAAAGGACTGAGGGAAGTTTTCAGAATGGGGGAGACATGGGCATGTTTGTAGATAGGGAAGGAGCCAGGAGAGTGGGTGGTATTGAAAGTAAAAGTGGGGATGATGGAGTGTGTTGGAGAAGAGATGGGATGGAAAGGGATCACTTGAACAAGTAGAGGGGTTAGCCTTGGTGAGGAGTAAGACCACTCCATCATGTCAGACGAGTGAAGGAAGAGAGAGTGTCCAAAGGCACTTGAGTGATAGGAGATGAGAAGAGGGAGGTCACATTGAACATCATCATGGTTTTCTGTAAAATGTGAGGCAAGGTTCTCAGCTGAGACAGTCATGGGAAAGGGAGCCCTGGGAGCCTTGAGCAGGGATGAAGTTTGGAAGAGCCACTGTGGAGAATGGGAGAGGGAGTTGATAAGGGGGGTATGGTAGGATTGCCCAGTGGCAGTGAGGGCCTGGTTGAGACTGTGTAACATAAATTCGTTCTGGGCCAATCACAACAGGTGCACTTCTTCTCCATCTTCATGCAGTAGCTCATGTATAGGAGTGAAGGAGATAAATGGTGGGAATGGTCCAAGGTTGAGGCTTGGCTGGGTGTAACAGGTGATAGGATAAGAGGGTCAGGGCTTCAAGAGAGGAGAACAGTAAAGATTTGAAGTGGGTCACCAAGGAGCCAAGATGGGGAGAAGAGAGAGTGATCCGTGAGAATGGGGGAGGGAAGGTCATGGGAGGATAAAGAGTAAGGTTACATAAGGGCAGGCAGAGGGAGAGGCGACAAGCTGATAGATCATGGTCAGGTAAGGGGATTCCAGAACACCTGAACATCCGTGGATGATGAGCCGACCCGTGGTGTGACCGCTTTTGTGTGTGGCTGAGGGAGAGCTCATGGGAGGTGAGTAGCTTGAGGGTATGAGGGAGAATCAGTGGACAGGTTGAAGTCCCCTGATGTGAGAGCAAGAGTTGGGGAGATGACCTATGACCCTCCAAGGAAGAAGTGATCTGAGTATGGGTTATTTTCCTTCATTGCACAGGTACCGGGCCCCCGAACTCCTCTTGGGAACAGCAACCCAAACTACCAGCATCGACATGTGGTAAGGAGTGTCCTTTTCCTGGAAAGTCTTGGGGTGGGAGGATGTTTGCAAGACCTGGCTGGAAGAGTTGCTACTTTTCCCCATCCCAGTTCCCAGTGATCCAAAAGGTCAGTTGAGCTGTCCTGTCTATGCTGTGTTGGGGCACAGTCCAGGAAGATAATACTCGAATATGAAAACATGGGTAGAAAATGGTGGAATGCTATCTGATCAGTTGGGAGTGAGGGAGGGAATACATTGAAGATGAGAAGACTGGCCTTTACCTGGTGAGGGTGTCCCTGCCAGAGAGAGGCCGGGGCACAGCCCTCCACATCTCCAGGCCTTTAGGCTGTCAGCCCCCATGCCTGGAAGGTTCTCCCTCCTCACCTCGGTCACTTGGACTCTAGCTCCCTTCAGATGGTGCCTCCTACAAGAAGCTTGTCCTGATTCCTTCACTTAATGTTCCCCACCCCCAGAATTACTTTGTTCAACATACAGGGCATCCCAAAAGCCTCACAACACTTTGAAGGTTTTCTTGGGGGACATTGCGCATGTATATGCGTGGCCGTGTTTGAGGTTATTTCTCTCTGTATGTGTTGTCTCCTCCAGTAGAATGTATGCCCCTTGAGGGCAGAGATGGTTTCATTCAGTAATATAGCCAGTGAGTAAAAAGCCCATTTGACTCTTTGAAGTCAGAAAAAGACCAGAATAATTACTAACCCACTTTGACACTTGGAGTTCTCAAAGCATTAGGAGGGGAAATGGGGCTTCCTTGGCCACTGGAAGGTGACCAAAGAGCTGTTTTTGCACTGAGGAAGACGAGCTTGAGTTGTAAGGAAAAACTTCTCACCACTCAGAGCCATCCCAGCATGGAGTGGGCTAACCTCTGGAGGTGGTAGCAGGTCTTCCTTCTTTGGAGATCTTCCAGCAGAGTCACTCAGTCAGCAAGCATGTATTAAGCACCCACTGTGTGCCAGGCACTATGCTAAGCACTGGGGATACCAAGAAAGGCAGAAGATTGTGCCTGCCCTCAGGGAGCTTACAGTTTAACGGGGAGATAACATGGAAATGACTCTGGCCCCACAAGATCTAGACAGGCTGACTTGGAGATCCTTCCAGGGGAAGGCACTCAAATTAAGGGGAATTGGGAAAGACTTCTTGGAGAAGGGAAGAGTTTAGTTGGGACTTGAAGGAAGCCAGGAGACCAAGGTGATGGAGAGGGTTCTAGGCGTGGGACATGGCTGGTGGAAACGCCCAGAAGAGGGAGATGGAGGGCTGTGTGTGAGGAGCAGGAAGGGGCTGGTGTCACTGAATCATGGTGTCCAGGGAGGGCTGTAGAGGGAGCGGGAAGACTGAAGAGGTGGGATGGGGCAGGTTAGGAAGGGCTTGACATGCCAAACAAAGGAATTTCTGTTTGATCCTGGAGGTGATTAGGAGTCACTAGAGTTCACTGAATGGGGGTTGACATGGAAGATCACTCTGACAGATGAGTGGAAGATAGGTGTGTCCTCCTTCTTGGGGAGGGACTTGGAGGATGGAGACCAACCATAAAGCTTTTGAGGTGGTCCAGATCAGAGGCGATGAGGGATAGCATCAGGGTGGCAGCACGTACAAGAGAGGGTGTGAAGGGAAGCAGCCAGTAGACAGTGGAGAAGATGGAAGAGGCAGTCCACTGGAGAAGAAAGGATGGAACGAGTCAGTTACGCGTGTAGAGGGAAGGGAAGTGGCCACCCTCTTCATGTGAGACAGGTGAAGGAGGTGGTGGCAGAAGGAATCTAAGTGATCAGGCCAAGAGAAGAGGGAGCTCTAGACAGATGACCCCAGTGTTTTCAGTGAAATGTGAAGCACAGTTCTTAGCTGAGAGGGTGGGGAAAGGGGAGCTAGGGGAGACTTGAGAAAGGGTGAAAACACTGGTGAGTGGAAGAGTCAGTTAAGGAGGTATGAAAGGGTTGCCTTGTTCCAGTGAGGGCCCAGCTGATGTCATATAATAGATTTGTTGTGGACCGACCGGTCAGTGTGGTTGTGTGATTTCCTCTAGCTTTGTTCAGCAGAATGTGAGAAGGGGTGAAGGCAGCAGATGGTGGGAGAGATCCAAGGTTGAAGCTTGGCAGGGCAAGATTGGTGATACAAAGGGGTAAGGAACTCAAGAGAAGAGTGTAGGGTTGAACCAGTTCACCAAGGCATCAGGATGGGAAAGGGAGATGAATGTAGGCAGTGCATAGGTGATGGCCAGGGAAAGAACTGAGGGCTCAGGGATTGAAGGTCACAGTGCATATGAAGAACAGGGTTGGGGGTTGCAAGGCTGAGGGAGATGTGGCCAGATGAGGGAGCACCATAGCTCACGAACACAGAGAGGCTGTGGGGATGCTTGTTCAGGGGTGGGTCAGATGAGATGGCCATTGATGTCCCTTCCCCATTCAAAATTCTGAAATTGACATCTGGTTCCCAGGCCATGCTCTGCCCGCCCCTTTTGCCCCTACCTACTGGGGAACTGAGGAATTCCAGAAGTGACACCCATTGCTTCAGTGCCCCAGCCCCTTGGGCACACTGAGGCACCTCGGGATGGAAGTGTCTGCTTCCTGCTTCCTGCCCCTCTTTTCCTCCAGGGCCGTGGGCTGCATCTTGGCTGAGTTGTTGGCTCACAAGCCCCTCCTCCCAGGCAGTTCTGAGATCCACCAGATTGACCTGATCGTGCAGCTGCTTGGGACACCCAACGAAAACATCTGGCCGGTGAGTGCCTTGGAGCCAGGCTGCCCAGTCCCCTGGAGCTGGCCCAGGCCTCTTCTCACTCCTGTCTCTGCTCTTCTCTCTCCTCTCAGCTTGGAGCCAGGCTGCCCAGTCCCCTGGAGCTGGCCCAGGCCTCTTTTCACTCCTGTCTCTGCTCTTCTCTCTCCTCTCAGGGCTTTTCCAAGCTGCCTCTAGTCAGCCAGTATAGCCTGAGGAAACAGCCATACAACAACCTCAAACACAAGTTTCCGTGGCTCTCTGAGGCAGGCTTACGTCTGCTCAACTTCCTCTTCATGTATGACCCAAAGAAAAGGTACCCAGGGCTCTGACCGACAGGGTGGGGCTGGGGGAAGAATCAGGCCCCGCTGGAAGCCGGTGTCTGTTCTCGGGCCCGTGCAGGCACATGACGCTTTTGGCTTAGTCTGCCTCCCCCCCCCCCGAGAGCTGGTCTGCTCTGAGAGTCTGCCTGCGCTCGGGTATCTGCCCCCTGTAAGGATGCAGGGCATTGCCCCGACTCTCTGGACAGCACTGGCCAATCCGCCACGTGGGAAGGGCCGACCCCTAGATACCTGCATGCATAAAAGCGGTCTGGGCTGGAGCATTTGCCCCCTGTAAAGGTGCAGGGCATTGCCCCAACTCTCTGGACAGCACTGGCCAATCCACCACGTGGGAAGGGCCGACCCCGAGATAGCTGCATGCATAAAAGCGTTTGCCCCCTCTTCCTTTCTCCTGATGGGCTCCACATCCTTTTGTCACATTCCTAAGCAGCAGATCTTGCCTGTTTGTTGCTGGAACGTTTAGGCTGGCCAGGGATCATCCTTGGTTTCTGCCCCACAGAGTCGTACGTCTTCTGCCTACTCTGTGTGTTTACTCTTTGGCTCACGGAGACCCAGAAGCTCCTGTTTTCTTCTCATTATCAACAGCCTCCCTCATTGCTCTGTCTTTTGGGTGTGGGGAAGTGTGTTGAGGCCTTTGGGTTGGGAAATGGAACACTGCCCATCACCAGAGGCCCTAAGTTAGTCAGAGAGCCATTTTTAAACAAGACTTTATACCCCCCAGGGACAGGGACGATGGTAGTGCCCAGCCCAGCTCCCTGCACGCAGTAGGCACATGATAAATGTTTATATTTGCCATGGCATTACTTCTCCTTGACAAGCTGGTGGGTTCTCTCTAGGGCCACAGCTGGGGACTGCTTGGAAAGCTCCTACTTCAAAGAAAAGCCGTTGCGTAAGTGCCCCCGCCTTGGGCCCGGTCGTCCTGCCAGAGCCTTGGGGGGGTGGGAAGTCACTGTGCCAGTCCTGGGAGCAGCCAGGATGAGGTGCTGTGCGTGTGCCCAAGAAGTGAATGCCTGGGAGTCTGGGTGGCTGAGGAGTTGGGGAAGTGTGGGGGCAGGGGAAGCCATCCAGAGCCCTAGCCCAGGGAGAGCAGTTTTCTCTCTGCCCACAGCCTGTGAGCCTGAGCTCATGCCCACCTTCCCACATCATCGGAACAAGCGGGCAGCCACAAGCACCACCGCCAACATGGGGGCAGAGAGCCAGGGCAAGCGCAGCAAGCCCTGAGGCGGTAAGAGGCCCCTTCTCATCCCATTGGGTTCGTAAAGGAAGTCACTGAAGGGGGAGCAAAAGGGCAGGCAGCCCACAGGCCTCGGTGGGCTGTGCTGCCAGCCTCCAGCTTAATTTTGCCCACCCCCCCTTCCAAAACCACAGGCCGGGGACAGAAGCAAACTAGTGGCTTTAGAGCTGCCCTCCACTCGCCGTCCTCCTTCCTCTTCGGCTTCTGGGGCCCTCTCCCAGACTCTGGGCTGACCAGAAATAGGAGCTGCATCCTTGGAGGAGGTCACAAGGTCAAGCTCTCCTCATTCCTCTGCCTTAGGGGAGGTCAGGGACGGGGTCAGATTATTTCATTCTGCCTCAGTTTCCTCTCCTCTGAAGCCCACCTCAGCTGCTTTGAAGTTCTGAATTGTCCTCAAGGTCGCCGTGGCAGGTCCCCAAAAGCCAGAACCGGAGGAGCCGACTGGACTGGACTGTGGTCTGAGAGCCGGCCTGGCACAGTGTGGATTGGCCAGCCAACCAGTAATGAGTGTTTTCAGCCATGATAACTTAGGAAGACTTTCTTCTAACGGGTGGCAGGATCACAAGTCTGCCCCTGCACTGATGAAATCAGAGCTCTCTGAAGCAGGCATCAGCCTCTGCCGTGAGGCCGGCCCAGTCTTCTCACTGAAAAACAAGCAGAACTCCCTGGGTGGGTGATGGAGCCAGCTTGGCTGGCATGAAGAGGTGGGGGACTCAAGCAGCTGTTTGGCTCCTGGGACGTCCCAGCTTTTGCTCCAGAGCACTTGGGAGGCTCCAGGAACCTCCTGGAGTGTCCGGGAGGGCAGCCTCGCTCATCACATTTGGTTTCCAGTTCTCTGGGCCTAGCACACCACAGGGGGTGCAAGGACATTCTACTCATTTTCCTTCTCCTTCAGGTCACACCCTCAGTTGTGGTGTTAGGGCAAGGGATTATATTAATGCTTCCTCTGCCCTTTGCCCTTCTTAGCTTCTCATTCAGTAAAAATTGCCCCCTTTTTTCAGGTGGATCAGGGAGGCTGAGGCACCAGGTAGGCAGAATTGGGTGAAGATTGATTTGTAAGTAGTCCAGTGAGTGCTGGCCAGATACCTGCCACCATCCCACTGACAACGGGCGGCTCCTAGGACTCACCTCAGGGGGCCTTAGCAGACACCTCCCAGACTTTCTCTGGCTTTCTGCTCAGTGCTCCAGCTGGCAGTAATGAGGCTGGAACAGGGAGAGAATTTGGTTTTCCCCACCTGGAAGACAGACACAAGGTTTGGGGAGGGAAAGGAAGAATGGGCTGGAGAGATCTTTCCATGTTCCAGTCAGATCTTACCTGCTTCCTTCTTTGCAGGAGGTGAGATCTAGCAGGGCTCTGTCCTATGGAGTGGGGGGAGAAGCCCCCCCCCCCAATTCAGCCACCTGATGGTCAGAGACAAAGCTGTAAGCACTGGGGCTGTGTTCGGCCCTGATGCCGAGCTCCCTTCAAGGGAAGGGCCTCAGGAGGTCTGGATGTCATTAGAGCCTAAGATCCAGTCGTATCCTGGTGTAAAGAACCCTGTGTGGAGTCCCTCAGCAGCCCTTCATGCATGTGACCAGGAACTCTGGGGACTGATGGGGGGTAGAGACAGCCTCCTGTCCTGGAGGAGCCAAAGTCACACCCTCTGTAAGAGGGTGCTTGGGGGAAATGGGTTTGTTCAAACGCAGCTTTTGAACAGCGTTTTAAAGACTAGTCTTTGAATGCTACTCCTGGTGTTTGGCTTTGTGAAATGGACTGTTCTGGAGAATAGCTGGGAAAGGGGGAGCTAAGGGGGTGGAAGGGAGTGGGCAGGAAACACCAGAGTGGGAGGGAAGAGAAAGGAGAGAAAATTGCCCTGTTTGCCTTTTGCTTTCCAGTGAGAGCACTGAACAGTTCCTACCATCTAAACTGGGGTGTCAGGGAGGGAGCGGGAAAGAAGCATCTCCATGCCATTATTGAAGGCCCCATCCTGTGATACCCCTGTAAGACAAGGCCTGGGGAGAAGTTTTCCCACCCCTTGTGAGAAGCACTGCCCTGGCCAGCCCCTCCCTTTAGAGGATTGGGCCGGGGGGTGGAGCTTCCCATCTCCTCCCCTTCTCCATGTCAGAAGGACCCCTTTAGGGTCATGGGATTTTAGGGTTGGAAGGAACTTAATCAGCAAGCATTTATGCAGCACCTACTGTGTACAGGCCCACAACCTAAAGTCACATAGCTCAACCCTCACTTTGCCGATGAGGAAACTGGAACCCAGAGAGCTTGGGAGCAGCCAAGGTCACCTGGATAGCAGCAGAGCTGGACTGAGATTTGACCCCAGGCCCCCTTGACTCCAGCTCCAAGACACCTCCAAGCAGCCTTCCTCCCTTTCCGCTGGTTTGGTTTCGTCCTGTGACCTTGCAGCACCTAAATTCAAGGGGGGAAACGCTGTGGGTGGTGAGTCGGGCTCATTGTCTCACTTCGCCCATCCGCCTGAAGTTCAGGCTGATGTCGGCTCCGTGCTGCTGTTCCCTGAGGAGCTCAGCTCTGCTCCACTGAAGTCACCCAGGGAGGAAGGGGAGTGGGCCGTTCCTTCTCCGATCTAGGTAGTGGGACAGATTGTAAGCCCAGCGACTGGCCTTGAATCTTGACCTTCCTAAGGCAGCCGGGGAGAGCTGGGAGCAGTCACAAATCTCAAACACCAGTTTTGTTTAAGGCCCAATGGTAAGAGCTCTGGACGAGGCCGTGCCTCTTTGCCCAGAACTCTTGCTTTGGTCATGGGTGCTCTTCCATGCTCTCTTGTCTTCATCCCACTCCCCAAGCACAAATAGGTGAGGGGAGGGAAGCGTGGGAGTGTGCAGCGGGTTTCACCTCCCCAGCAGAGAGCTGGCTTCCTTTTGCTGCTAACACTCCCTCCCACCTCTGCCCCTGGATCCAGCAGTTACCAGGAGGACACCCTTTCTTAGAAAAGGCACCTTTGTTACGTTTCCAAATCAGCTCCTCTGCGAAGGACCATTTTTTCTTGATGTAGTGGCAGGTTGGCCTTAATCTGGGGGTGTTTTTGCAAACAGGTTTCTCCGTGGCCACTTGGGAGGGGACAGTCTTTAAATTTGGATGTCTCTATTCAGCAGCCAGCCCTATAAACTTTCTTGGTACTATCCCCTTTTTGCTGACTCTACTTGTAAAATTCCCCATTTTCCTCTCATTTCCCACACCCTGCTTTTTCTTTAAATGCAGATTTACCAATAAAACAGGAACAATTTTTTTTTAAATACAGCGACTGGTTGCAGGCCAAAATTTGCTGAAGAAACCTAGGGGGATGGGATGTTTGCTTAGTAGACATAGTGTGAAGATTGGGTTTCAGGGTCAGTGGCTAGGGAAATGCTATTGCAGGCAAACTCCTGGTGACTGTGGTGACCTGGTCTGGCCAGCCAAGTCTGTAACTGATGACACACTCTCCCTTCCCCCTCCCCCCAACCTGGGCAGGCTCAGGCTCGGGACTTAACCCCTTCAGAACATGTCTCGTCCACGTAGTACACTATATAGCCATCAAGTGAGGTAAATGACCCTTTAGTCTCCCTCCAAGATCACACAACCCCTAGGACAGGTGGCCCTCAGAGCAGATGCCCACTGGGCCCAATTAGACAGGGCAGGGCCTGCTTTTTGCTTTTCTTCGTATCCCCTGGCACTCTAAGCCTTTAATACATGCTGGTTGACCCTTGGCATTCAACAAAGAAGGATCCCTCAGGCTGCTCAGACTTCACCTTCCAACTGGCTGCTGCTGTAGCTGCTGCCAAACAGCATTCCACTGGGAGGGGAATAACAGGGACAAGACAAAAATCTTCCATAACCGTCTCTCCAAGTTGGCAATACTTGGAGAGTACTGGAATGATAGGGGATAGATAATGAGGGCACAGAAGAGTAAGTTTCAGAGAAGAGGCAGATTAGGGGAAGACCCAGGCAGGCTGACCGGTTGGGTGTCTCACACAACATGGCTATTTGTAACATGCCTACAGTAACGAGCTAGGGGGGAGAAAAGATGATGTGGTGTTTGAAGTCCCTGGGGCAGCCAGCTTTGGAACGGTTCGGCAAAGAACTCATCAAGAACAGGCAAAGAAGGTCCCTGGTGAACACTAAAACGCCTCACACACTTTAATTACAGACAGCCATCTACACGGGACAGGCCCTTCCTCCACGGTCCCAACCCTTGCTGATCAGAAGGGTCTTCTTTTGGCTGGAGTTGTCTGGGCAGTGCAGAAGGGCGGGCCAGCCCCAGCTCATGAAATGCCAACACTGCCATTGGACAGAGCCCTCCATGCCCAGAAGGCTGTCCTCTTCGTGGCAGAAGGGCTCACACCTAGGTGCCAGAGGTGACAGGGAGAGGGAGGCTGGTTTTAGTGATAACTTGGTCACCTCACTTACTTTGCCTTCTATTTCCAAAAGACAGGAATACCCTCGCAGAATAATTCCAGCTGATGTTATAATGCTGTAAGCTTTTTCAAAGTGTTTTCAAATATATCACAGGGTTAATGTTAGTCTTCCAGGGCCTAAATTTCCTCCAGGACAAGTGGGGACAGTGAATAACCTAATGGAGCTCACACAATTAGTTGGTGGCTGAAGGAACTAGAACCCAGGTCTCCTGAATTCTGAGCCTCCAGCTAACACTACCTCTAGCCTTTTATTTAGAGGAGGGGCTGAGGGTCTAGGTCAGGGGATCAGGATTACAGACTCCTTCCTTTCCTACTGAGCTAGAAGGTTCCTATTCCCTCCATCAACCAGGAGACAAGCCAGCTCTCTCCTTGGAGGCAAGGGGGGAAACCATACAATTTGGGGGAGCTCACCTTTGGCCCAACTCATCCTAGGGCCTGGCCCTGGGGGGACTCTCATAAAGCAGGGAGTCCAGCTGGGTCCTCTGGAGCCAGAGACGTCGCTGCTTCTCACTCAGCAGCTCATGCAGCGCGTGGCCCAGGCGGCAGCTATAGACAGCCTGGCAGTGACTGGCATGGAGCTGGCAGCATGTATCACAGCAGTAGGCAGGCAGAGTGCCCACTGGCAGGCAACCATGTAGCTGATAGCGCTGGGGCTCCCCACCAGATGCGGAGGGAGAAGCAGGGGTCTCTTCAGCAGCCTCAAGATGCCCACCGGCCCTGACGTGCCGAGGGGAACGGCTGGGGCTCTTGCCCCCGGCAACTTCTGGGGTCAGCTCCCGCCGTAAGGCAATGAAGGAGAAGGTGGTTCTCTCTTCGGTGGGTTCTTCAAAGGCCTCATAGGACATGCTCTCCTCAACTGGTTCTTCCACACTTGGAGGCTCCCAGCTGCTCCCATTGTCCCGAAGCTCCCTGGCACTGGAGGCCACATGGCCGGTGCCCCACAGTTTGGCACTCTGTTCCCAGACAGGAGGTTGATAGGCTAGCTCTGGGGAGGGTGACTCTGGCCCTGCCAAGGGCTCACCGTACAAGGAATCCTCCTCAGCACCTTCTTCCAGCATGTCACGATATAAATCGATGCCAGCAGGGTAACTGGCCAACGGCCTTGGGGACGGCTCTCCAGCTCCAGTCAGCCGCCTCCTCAGCCGGTCCACACACGTGTCCACATCGCCGCTGGCTCGACGCTCCTCAATCAGCTCTTCCGCAGACAGCAGGCTGGTTCCCAGCTTGGTCAAGATCTCCCCTAGAATCTCACACTCCAACCTCAGAGCGAAGCAGCCTAGAGCCACCTGAATTAGCTCGTAGCCTGGGGGTGGGGTGGCCACGACCAGGTGGTGTTGATCCCTCCTGGTGTAGCCCATCTTCTGGAAGCACTTGGTGATGAGGTCCTCTGAAAGCACACCCTTGAGGAAGTGGACATAGCCCCCGGAAAAGGTCTGTAATCAACAAAGAATCATGTTAGTACAGATTTAGGGGTGCCCAGCCTATTAGGATTCTTTTCCCTATCCATCAACAACTGAGATTTCTATTGGGTTACACAGGAATTCTTTCAGCAACCCTGTGAAGTTGGTAGTGTAAGTATTCACTTTACAGATGAGGAAACTGAGGGTCAGAGAGGCTAACTGACTTCCCTGGGGTTACAGTGTCGTTTGAACCCCGGTCTCTTCTGACTCCAAGTCCAACACTCTTTCCTATAGATCAGGGGTGCTTAACCTGCAATCTAACCCCTTTCGCGCAGCCATGGATAGAATTTGCGGGATCCATGAACTTGGGTGGAGAAAAAAAATTAAATCTTTATTTTCACTAACCTTTAACTTAAATTGAGCATTTTCTTCTATTACTTAAAAAGATTGCTCTGAGGGGGATCACTAGGTTTCACCAGATTGCAGAGGGGTCCCTGACCCAGGAAAAGGTCAAGAACCCTATTCTTTATACCAACCAGCAGATGTCACTGCTGAGATACCCTGGTTTTCTAAGTTGTCCCCTACGTTCCTGATGAGGCTGGTGTTGCCACGGTAACAGAGTGGAGGTGTTACTCTCCCACGCTGCCCGAGATGACATCACTCGGCTAGCTCCCCAACATTCTGAATTCACAAAGTTGCTGGGGCAATCTTTTTCCAGCTTGTTCTAGCTGGCATCCTGATTACCATGACTGTTCATTGCTACCCTGGAGGAAACCTTATTCTCTTTTGCTACTGGGCATGGAATAAACAGGAGGCAAGAGGGTGAAATGAGTGCAGGCGTAGAATCTTCACCTGCTCAGGAACTGGGTCTTCTGTGTAGTCTGTCCTCATTCCCCATCTGCTCATAGGACTTGGGACCTCAGAAATCATTTTAGTCCAACACTTTTGTTTTACACATGAGGAAACTGAGGCACGGAAAGGGATTTGAACCTAGCCCCAGATCCTGCCCACTTTCCACTATTCTACATACCTACTTAACCCCACTCTGGCAAAACTGCCTGTGACTGAGAGGATCCCCAGGGGAAAGGTGATTTTTGAAGCTTGGGCACCTTGCCTAGGCTCTGGTGAACCCATCCCTAGGAGGCCAGGCAAAGGCTGGAGGCTTGGGACACGACTGCTCTATTCCCCTGGCCCCACAAAGAACAACCAGGGTGTTCCGTCCCACCCCCACCCCCCAAGCCACTCTGGCCAAGTGTGGGCAGCATTCCTCTTCCCCACTCCCCGCCCCCATCCTGTGCCCAGCACACGACTCAGGCCCAGCCCAGAGCCCAGGACAGATTCCGCTTTGCCCGGGCAGAGCTGGGGAATTCCTGGGCCGCTTCTACCTTGATGGTGGTGAACTCCTTCCTCCAGGGAAAGAGGTAAAGGTGGACCGCGGCTAGCTCCAGAAGCTCGAACGCCCGGGCCAGGTTGCGCAGGGCGGGGGCCAGGTCGCTCCGGCCCCACAGCCCATCGGTGAAGAGGGCCAGGGCGTCGTCCTGGAGCAGCCCGTGAAGATCGAAATCCTCCACGAGGATCTGCCAGAGCACGGCCCGCAAAGTGGGGTCTGCACAGACGCCCGAGCCGCCCCTCCGCCGCTCCCGCTCCAAGCACAGACGGTAATCCTCCGACAGGGAGCTGGCGCCCATCCTGAGGGGTGGGGGTGGATGATTAGGTAGAGTCCCGCCGACCTCCCTCAGAACCCCTCCAGGGGCACCTTCCAGCGCCCCCGAGAAACGGACTAGCCAAGCCAGATGTTCTTCCCTGGCCGACTGGGAGCGGAGCCAGATGTGCTCCCCAGGAGGACCAGTTTCAGGCCGCCCCCACACCCGCCCCCGGATTCCAGCCTCAGCCACAGAATGGGAAAGGGAAGGGGAGGCGGGAACCCGGGGAGGTGTCTCTACCTGTCCAGGTTCCAGGAGTCGCCTCCGACGCCCGCCGCACAGCCCAGAGCCCAATGGCCCAGCAGGGCCCTTCCGGCTTCGTGGGGGTCTCTCCCCCCCATTGGTCAGACACGGGGGCTGACGCATATGGGGCGTGGTTTGGGGGTTCCGCCCCCCCTTCCCCGCCCAATTTTGGAGTTTAACCGTGTCCTTGCCAGACAGAAGGAGATAAAGGAAGGACCTATAAGGGTTCTGCAGCGAGTGGAAGGCTGAGGGTGGGAGGCTCTGGGGAAAGGGGTGAGGGCCCCCACCTGGGGACAGGAAGCAAGGAAGGGGGGCACTGCGATTCATCATCTCACCAGTCGTCATCAGTTTCCAGATTTGGTGTCCGAAGATGAGGCTCTACAACCTTCTAGCTATGTGACAGTAGTCAAGTCCTTCTCTAGGACTCAGTTTCCTCATCTGTAAAATGAGAGGGTTGTGCCTTCCAGCTCGCAGTCTCAAGACCCTCCTGGGATCCTGGGCCAGAGGACAGAAGGCTCCAGGGAGCATGGACTTGGAAGCACTGCAGGTTCACAACTCACGACTCACTTAGGGGTAACTCCACTTAGTCCGGTAGTGGCCCGAAAGAGTCAGGAAAACTGTGCGCTCTCTCTGCCTAAGACTCGGCCAGCCAGAGGCAAGTACGTCTGGGGCCGCTGTCTGCCCAGTCCAGTCTGAAAATCTGTGTATTTGTACGGTCGCGTTTCAGCCTCGAGCTGAGAAGACATATATTCTTTTGTTGTTTGTTTGTTTTTGTTTTTGGCTAGGCAATGGGGTTAAGTGACTTGCCCAGGGTCACACAGCTAGTAAGTGTTATGTGTCTGAGGCCGGATTTGAACTCAGGTTCTCCTGAATCCAGCCACCTAGCTGCCCCCAGAAGAGATATATTCTACATTGGAGTGTGCGTGGCACAAATTACTAACAGTAAGACCAGAAACCTAGGTTCTTGTCCCAGCCTTGCCCCCGACGTTGCTATGGGCCCTCTGTGGGCCTCAGTTTGCTCCCCTGTAAAATGAGGGGCGTGAATAATAGCCTAGTCCTAACAAAGTGAAATCAGTTTCCCTATGGTAGCGATGGAACTGGGAGCCTTCTGTCCCTTCCCTCACCTCTCCTACCCCAGAAATACCCACCGCAGGCACTCAGTCTTCCTGGGACGCTAGGTGGCAATACTGGACCACTAGAGATCTGAGTTTGCTCCCCAGAGAATAAAAGCTGGTCTCTGACCTCCCTAGCCTGCCAGCATCACAGAATCATTAAAGGTCAGGATTGTAGGAGATTACTGCAGGTGACAAAACTGGGGCCCAGAGAGGAGAAGGTACTTTCCCAAGGTCATACAACAAATCAGAGTGATCCAAACGCAGGTCTTCTAAAGCTAACCACCAGCGCATTTTTTCAGAACCGCCAACAAAACAGGCTCTGCATAGGGTACCGCAGGCCCTTGGAAGGCTTCTTGGAGGAGGAGGAGAGATGGAGCAGGACAGTGACCAGGAAAAACCCCTGCCTTGTTGATGCTGTGCTCCACAGTTCCCCCAGGACAGCACAGGAAAAAAAAACAAAAAGAAAGAAAGAAAGAAAGAAAGAAAGAAAGAAAGAAAGAAAGAAAGAAAGAAAGAAAGAAAGAAAGAAAGAAAGAAAGAAAGAAAGAAAGAAAGAAAGAAAGAAAGAAAGAAAGAAAGAAAGAAAGAAAGAAAGGCGGTGGGTTGTAGATAGAGGACCTAGGTTTGGAGTCAAAGCACCAGGGTTTGACGGTAGACTCTGCTATGTACCAGAATCCATGGGAAGATAAAATTGTAGAAAGGCACTTTTAGGCTCAATGTGCAGAAGGATCTCTCCAAATGTGGAATGAATTCCCTTATTCCCAGACACAGGCATGAAGGCAGCTAGGCCATTCGGCACATAGAGCAAAGGACTGGAAGCCAGCAAGTGATTGTTTAGTTGTTTTTCAGTCTATCCCATTCTTCGAGACCCCATTTAGAGTATTCTTGGCAGAGATACTGGAGTGGTTTGCCATTTCCTTCTCCGGCTTATTTTACAGATGAGGAAACTGAAGCAAGCAGGGTTAAGTGATTTGCCCAGGGTCATACAGCTAGTAACTGTGGCCAGATCTGAATTCAGGAAGAAGAGTTTTCCTGACTCCAGGCCCTGAATTCTATTCCTTTCACCACCTAGCTACCTGAAGTCAGCAACACCTGAGTTCAAATTCTGCTTCAGAATTTGACACCCTTGGGTGTCTGAGCTGGGTGACACTGGGCAAGTCACAAAACCTTTTTCTGTCTCAGTTTCCTCAAATGTAAAACAGGGATGATGCTAATAACACCCACCTGCCAGGTTTGTTGTGAGGATCAAATGATATAATGTTTGTAGAGGGTTTAGCACAGTACCTGGCACATAATAAGCCCTTTATAAATGCTAGCTGCTATTATTATTATTAGCAACTAGATAGCTCAGTGGACAGAGTGCTAGGTCTAGAGTCAGGAAGATTCTTCTTCTGTAATTCAGATATAGTCAGCTGTGTGATCCTGGGCAAATCACTTAATCCTGTTTGTCTCGGTTTCCCCCTCTCTAAAATAGGCTGGAGAAGGAAATGGCCAACCACTCCAGTATCTTTGCCAAGAAAAACATAGGTCACAAAGAGTAGGACACGACTATAACAACAACAATTATTATTATTTTATGGATGACCCTTGTTGAAGAAGTTGGGTGAGACAGCTAGGTAGTTCAATGGATGGAACAAAAGACCTGAAGCCAGAAAGACCTGAGTTCAAATTCTGTCTCTTTACGTCTCAGTTTCTTCATTTGTAAGACGGAAGTAATAAAAATACCTACAGGGTTGTTATAAAAATCAAATGACATAACATATAAAGTGCTTTGCAAACCTTTTTAAAGCATTACATAAATGCTAGCTATTGTTGTTCAGGGTTGGACTGGAAGGGTTGGCCTGTGAGATTCCGCTCAATTTTCTTTTCCTTTCAGTAAAATGGGGAGTTAGAGGCTATAATTTCCAAACGCCTTTCCAGTTCTACATCCCAGACTACACAATAGACTTCGTAAATTAGCCTGCAAGATTTTGGTGATTGGCTGGCTGCCCAGGGGGCGGAGCCAACCCCTATTAAGTGCTGAGGGATTGGCCAGTGAGGGGCTCTAAGGGCGGGATCTCCAAGGAACCTGCCTTACTTAATCTTTCCCCCCCGCCAAGACTTAGCTTCTTCTGCGGGGCACCCTCCGTGGCAGCATGTCACCTTCTGAGCGTCTGGTCCTGGTGCTGGGAGGAGCTGGGACCGTGGGCTCTGGGATTGTGAAGTCTCTCCTGGAGAAAGGTGAGGGCCTTCGGGGAGAGTGTGATGGGTGGGATGATGGCCCCCAGTTGGGTGGGAAGTCACTGGGGGTACAGAAAGCAGCAAAGTGGGAGGTTAGAGAGAGGATGGGGTGGGGGTGTTGGAGAGGTCAGCTGAGGAAATCCCAGATTGAGGAAGCCTGGGTTATAGGATTTAGAACTAGAAGGAATTTTAGTCTAACTTCCCATGTTACAGAAGGGGATACTGAGACCCAAAGAGGTCACACAGGTAGGAAGCAGCAAAGTTGAGTTCTGAACCCAGGTCCTTTGATTACAAACCCAGTGTGCTTTCTACTCTACCTTGCTGGTGTCCTGCCTGCGGGATGCAAGCTCTGCAGAGCATCCAGTCTCACTTCAGTACTCACTCCCCATGATCCTGGAAGCTGTGCCACCTGGGAGGGAGCTAAACCCAGGTTTCTCATTCCAACCCAGCCCCAGGATTTCCGAAGAGACTGCTGGACAATGAGTCTGGTCAAGTGCTGCTTTTTTCTTCAGTCCTTTCTTTGTCCACTGAACTTGGAGGGGGAAGGAGATGCAGAGCTGGGATAGAGAGATGGCCAGGAGCCTAGTGGGAGGACATCCTGATTGTAGGTCAATAGCCCAACTCCCAGGGCCAGACAGGACTAGACCTAGGGTTCAGGAAGCCGCTTTCTCCCATTCCCCATCTCCCACACCCCATATCTGGGTAACCCTTGGGCAGACTATTTAGACCTCTTGGACACCAGTTACTTACTCCGTAAAGTGAAATGGTTATAGGATTTAGACCTAGAAAGTACCAATAGGGAGTATGTAATCCAGGCATTCTTAACCTGGGGTCCATGGATAGTTTTCAGGGGGTCCATAAACTTGGATGAGAAAAAAATTTACATCTTCATTTTCACTAATATTTAAATGAAATTCAGCAATTTAGCGATTATGAATTTTAAAAATACAAATTATTCTGAGGATTCCATGGGTTTCCTCAGCCTGCTAAAGGGGTCCATGAAACAAAAAAAAAGGGAAGCGTCTGTGATGTAGTCTAACTCTTTCATTTTAGAGATGAGGAAACCAAGGCCCAAGGCTTGTCTAAAATTAAAGGAAGTTGTTGAGCCAAGATTTGAACCCTGGTCTCCTCTAACTCTTTCTACTTTATCCTTTTAGTTGGATTAGATGTTTTCTGGGGTTCCTTCTAGTTCTAAATTTCTGGGATTCATTTGCTTCCTAATGAGTTCAAGTCGAGTATACAAGGCCAGCTTTGAGTGAGCATCTTCTGGCCCAGACCCTTGGTCCCACTCTGTAGACTCATGTTTCCAGGAGCCTAGGTCCTGACTTTCCTCCACCGCCGTAGGGTTCCAGGTTGCTGTTATCTCCCGGGATGCCACACGCCTGGAGAAGCTTCGGAACTTCGTACCAGCAGAAGCCCGCAATAGCCTGTTCACTGTGGTTGGGGATGTGGGTGAGTCACCACCTCAGGTCTAGGGTGGGGCATGGGTTCTGGGAGTGCCCAAGGCAGTGGGGTTGGGTCTTGGGCTTGCACTAAGAGACAAATGTGAACTGTGTTCTGGAAAGAGATGCATGGAAGGAGAGGGCAGGGACCAAAGCTGAAGACAGGGAGTGGAAAGAAAGGTGAGAAATTGTCCTTGAACTCCCCTCGTTAAACCCAGCCCTCCCCTCACCCCCCCACCCCCCAACCCCCACACACACCCCACAGTCACAGGGTCATATGTTAGGACTGAAAGGAACTCCAGACTGTGATCTGGAGTAATGTTCAAAAGCAGGGCTCTTAACCTTTTCTGTGCCCTGGACCCTTCAGTCAGCTGGCAAAACCTGGACCCCTCCTCAAAATCATGTTTTTAAATACGTAAAGTAAAATACATAGTATCATAAAGGAAACAAATTCTATAAAATACAATTATTAAATTTTTTTTCTGCCATGCTATTGGAGGAAGAGAAATTGGAACTCAAAACTTAAAAAAAAAAGTTAAAATTGTTTTAACATTTAATTGAGGAAAAAATAAAATATTATTTTAAAAAATTGTTTTAAGTTCACAGACCCAAGGTTAAGGGTTTTGGTTTTTTTTTTAGGCAATTGGGGTTAAGTGACTTGCCCAGGGTCACACAGCTAGTAAGTGACAAGTGTTTGGTCTGAGGCTAGATTTGAACTCAGGTCCTCCTGACTTCAGAGCCAGTGCTCTATCCACTGTGCCACCTAGCTGCCCCAAGAATGTTCTGTGGGGGCAAAGCAGTGGAAAGAGTGTTGGACTTGGTATCAGAAGACCAGAGTTCGTATTCCATATCTGACACCACCAGTGTGGCCATGGGCAATCAATGAACACATGTGATGAATTCATTCTGAGACACTAGGAAGTACTGATGATATTACTACCTGTGCCCTCTACATTGCCTACCTTTGAGGCAAAACCCTGATGGTCCCATCTTAGTTACAGCTCCATTTAGCTTTTGAAGATGGGAAGTTGGGGACGCTGTAAACATAGTGGATAGCATAAGCCAAGGAATAGAGGCAGAAGAACACAGTGCCCTGCATATAGTAAGTGCTTAATAAATACTTGTTGGCTGACACAGAATATGTTGAGGAAGGGAGAATTGTCAGTTTGTGTAGAGCATAAAGTACACAGAAGGGGATAATATAATATGGACGAAGGTCAGACAATATCATCCCTTCCAGCTCTAAATCTGTGATGTAATACAACTCCCTCATTTTACAGATGAGGAAACTGAGTCCCAGAGCTGCTTAATCAGCAGCTTGTTCAAAACAGAGCCTGATGTGAATTCACATCACAGGCCTGCATTTCAGAATTGAAAGGGCATTCAATGCACATCTAATCCTACTCCCATCTGAAAAAGATCTCTGCAACATGCCCAGGCCCCTGAGGACAGGTCCAGAACCCTTCCCACTAAGTTCATTTGCAGATGAGTTAACCATGGCCCAGAGAGGTTAAGCAGTTGGCCCAAAGTCACAGAGATAGTAAGTATTAGAAGAGGGATTTGAACTCGGGTCCTCTGACTCCAGAGTGGAAACACTACGCTACACCAAGAGGCTGTCCTGTGGCTCCCCAATTTCAGCCAGCTCCAAAGGGCAATGTAGGGACAGCATCTCTCCAATGACCAGCTGGTCCAGGAATGACAAGGGAATACCCCTTTAGGTCCAAGCACTGATGCTCAGCTCACTCCTAGAGGAATGTGGCTGTCTTCAGAGAACCTGTGTAGCTATCTCAAAGACAGCACAAACGAGGAGGGGCAGCTTCAGTCTCTAAGCCACCCTCTGGCTCCCTTTCCCTCTGTAGGCACCGAGGAGGGAGCAGAAGCAGCAAAGGTGTCCCTGCTAGAAGGAGGCAGGAAGGTCACAGATGTGGTGTCCTCTTTGGGTTTCAGCTGGTGGCAAGGAGGGGCGCCCCATACCCAGAGCCTGCAGGAGCTACAGTGGGTACGAAGGGGCTGTGGGGTGAGGGAGGAGGAAGGTATGAGGAAAGCGGGAGGGGTGGGATGGGGAAAGGCAGTAAGAATTGTGGATAACAAGGTCCCTCCTGCCTAGGTCCTGGAGACCTTGCTCCTGAGTACCTTCACTGCCTGGAAAGCCTTCTTTCCTCTGGTCTGGGAGAACCCTGGAGGCTCTTACACCTTCATCACAGGTGAGGCTCTGGCCCTGAGCAATAAGCAAGGGGACCAGCAAGGTCTGTGTCACTCTGGGGTCCCCTGGGTGTTGGAGGAGCCCCAGCAGAGTCACCGTTGGGGTTGTCCATCCCCTTCCCTCCCACCACCCCGCAGCTGGGTGCCCAGCATCTGTCCCACCTTTCTGTTATATTCTAGGGAGTGCGGGAGACCGTCTGCTCAGGCCAGGCACAGGCTTCCTGACGCTGGGGGCCTCAGGGGCCCTGGCCTTCAGCAGGGTGGTCCGTGAGGAATACCCTGATGTACCCTGTAAGCTGAATGAGGTGAGGGGCCCTGGGGGAAAAAATCTACTGGATGAGGGTCTGTAATGTGGTCGGGGACATCAGGCATCTGAAATGGAGGCGGGGTGGAGAGAAGGGGAAAACTAGAAATCTACGATTGGGATTTCCTAAAGACATCAGTATTCCACTCAACCACCCTTGCTAGCTCTGGGAGAGATAGGAAGGTTTTAGATAAGATATGGCCCCTGCCCTAGTGGAGTTCATGGTCTAGAAGAGGGATTAGGCACAAACTAGCTAGCTATAATACAAAATGACATTTGAAAAGTGCATAAGAGAGGTGTAAATTGTTATGTAAGGTCTGAGAAGGAAAAGGTCTTTACTGACTGAAAGATTAGGGAATACTTCATAGAGAAAGTAGCATTTGAGTTGGGTTTTTAAAAATTAGTATGAATTTGTAGAGCTATAATGAATAATTTTTGTGCCTGGGGCAATCTGCAGTATGTGTGTAATGGAGACCCATTGTGTGTGTGTGTGTGTGTGTGTGTGTGTGTGTTTGTGTGTGTGTTCACTCTGAGACACCAGGAAGTACTGATGATATTACTGTCTATACCTTCTGAATTTCATACCCTGGAGTAAAGCCTTGATGGGGTAAAGCCACCCTATTATGTTGTTATTTACTCATTTTCAGTTGTGTCTGACTCCTCATGATCCCATTTGGGGTTTTCTTGGCAGAGGTACTGGAGTGGTTTGCCATTTCCTTCTCTTGCTCATTTTACAGATGAGGAAACGAGGCAAACAGGGTGAAGTGACTTGCCCACAGCTCCATTTAGCATTTGAAGATAGGGGAGGGGGGGACGTTGTAAATATAGGGGATAGCATAAAACAAAGGCATAGAGGCAAGAGAGCACAGTGCCCGGCACACAGTAAGTGCTTAATAAATGCTTGTTAACTGACAGAATATATTGACTTGGGGAGAATTGTCCAGTTTGTATGGAGCATACACAAAAATGAATAATGTGAAATAAATCCAGAATTGTGCAGGGCTTAGAAGGTTGGGCAAAGGCATTTTGATCTTTACTCAGAAGGCAACAGGAGATTTTAAAACAGATGCATGATCACATGCATGTGTGAGGAAAGTCAGTCTAATAGCTGGTATGAAGGGAGGCTTAGAGGGGCAAAAATCAAGGTGGGAAGACCCAGACAGTTCTTTCCCATGTTAGTTTAAATCAGTAAGCATTTATTAAGTGCCTCCTATATGCCAGGCCCCTTGATATGTACCAGGGATACAAATACAGAAATGAAAGCCATCCCTGCCCTCATCTCTATTGAAGGGAAGAGACATGTCACAGGAAAGTAGATAGAACATAGAGACAGAGGAGTGCTGCTGGGGGGAAGGAGGCTTCTTGTAGGAGGATATACTTGAGCTGAGCCTTAAATGGGACCCCCACCAACTTCCACTGAACTTCGTTCTATATGGGGAAGAGAGAAGCTGATGGTGTCTTTCTCTGCCTCTCTAACACTCAGGTGAAGATCAATATGGGAGTCGCACTCCCTGAAGCTCTGGGGCCTGGCTACATCAGCCACCTGGAGGTGGGCCAGGCTGTGGCCTCTCTGGTGGATAAGCTTGCCGTCTCACACTCTGTGCTGTGTGTAGACTCCCCTGCTGACCTCCAGGTCTTGATCTCAGATGGGAAACTGTGACTCCTACCCTTTCCCAGGAAGCATGCACCCATCTGCAGCTGGCCACCATCAACAACCCTACCCATTTCTCCTCTCTAAGGAGCTTCCTTTTTGGGGTTGAGGATGCTTCTAAAAGCTCTCCTGAGCCTGAGCCATCCCTATATTGAACCTCCTGTTTTCTGTATCACTTCTTACTATCCAAAACCTTTCCAGGTGGGGCCCCAGGTGAGACCTGTCCTTTCTCCTGGGAATGGTGGGCTGGTTTGAGGAAGAAGGCAACAAGCTGAATGGCTTGCACACAGACACAGAGCCTTGCTACAGCAGGGAAAGGGCAGGAGCTAGAACGTCAGCCTAGAACTTAGAATGTCAACATTTCTGAGGCCCATTGCATTGGGCTATGTGGAAGAAAGGCTCAGGTGCCCTGGTCTTTGCTCTTGGTAAGAAAGGATGCACAATAGAAGAAGCTAACTCTCACATGCCCAGCCATTTTGGTCTGGAACTCATGGTGACCCCAGGGTCTTGGGGGGAGGGTGGGGATAGGAGGACAGAAAGGGACCATGAGACAGTGAAGCCTGGGGCTTGTCCCCCCAATCTGAATCTGGACTCACACAGTACCAGAGTATTTACCAACAAGTAGCATATGCAGGCATCTGAACCTCACCTCCTCTCCCTGACTCCTATCCCAGGGAGCCAGAGATCAGAGACACAGGGTAAGAGCAGCTGAAAAGATGAGAAACATAGAGAATGCTTCTCCCACACCATCAGCCCCTGGAAAGGAGTCCTTAGCTAGTCCTAATTGCCTTCCCCCCCATCCACCTCTCTTCTATTCCCAATGCCTTCCACTTCTTAGAATACTTAACCAAGGCTAGAGTGGATAATATCACCAACCCACCTTGTCACCCCCTAATGCCCAATATTTCTCCCAATCACTTTGTTCTCTTTTAATAAAATTTGTACAAATTCCAAGTTGCTTCTGATCCTTGGCAGGGGGTTTCTGGGGGTGGACTCTCCTGAATCTTGCCCCTGGACAGGGCACAAAAAAGGAAATGAAATACAACAAACATTTATTTGGCACATAGTAGGTATTGGCCATTGTCCTAGGTGCTGGGGATACAAATACAGAAACATGAGTCAGCCCTCAGGGAGCTCACATTTAGGGGGAAACACATATACACATGAATGCAAAATAAACCTAATTTTGCAGGCACATGGGATATCTTAACAGGAGGAATAGGTGATATGATAATAGCAACCTTACGTTAGTATGAAGCTTTTGTTTTACGTTAGCTCATTTGATTCTTACAACAAACACTGCTCTTTAAAAAGCATGATCTTGAATTTCACCAAGGTTACAATGGGACTTTCCAATATTTTCCTGTCCTACTGAAGTGCTCAAGAATAGAGATGGATAAGTCAAGTGGTGACCAGATCCAATGCACATTTTTTAAAGTCTCAGCTCTCAACTGCAGCAAGGCCACGTATCTACTCCTAACTGATTGTCCTCTATAGAAGCCTTCCCATACATTCTCTTTTCTTCTTTCCATACCAACTCCTCTTTCCAACCCTCACAACTGAACACCTGGCCTCTTACCTTATTGAGACCTCTACCTTGAGCTTCTTCTCATCTTTTCTTTATCTCATAATCCTTTGACATCACCCCCTCTCCTATTTTTCCTCCCTCACTCCAGGCTCTGATGAAGTGGTGGCACTTCTACACAAGACTGACCCATCAACATGTACCTTCTTATCCCATTCCTTCCTCTTCTTTCCAGTAGGTTGCCTGAACAATCATCTCTCTCTAGCAGTCTCTGTTGCCAACATGCACTCCCAAGTCTGCCCATCCTTAAAAAGTCCTCACTAGGCTCTGCCATCCCCTCAAGCTATTGTCCTATATCTCTCTATCCACAGCCAAACTGCGTGAAATTTGTGCTTTTCATTGTTCCTACTTTCTCTCCTCTAACTTGCTTCTCAATCCATTTACATCCATTTTTTCTTCTTTCATTTCCAATCCTTTGCAATCTAGCTCCTGACCTTGTCACGCAGTTGAAATTGCCTTCTCTAAAGTCATCAATGATCTCTTGTTTGCTGGATTTCCTCAGTCTTTATCCTTCTCACTTTCTCTGACCATGATTCTAGAGGACTACATGACGAAACATGGTACCCCTCTCCTGACAGAGAGGGGATGGATTCAGAGTGAGACAGACTTTTTGGATATGATCAATGCAGGAATTTGTTTTGCTTGACAAAGCATATTTGTTACAAGGGTTTGGGGTTTTTTTCCCTTTATTTTCAGTTGTGGGGAAGGATGTGGGAGGGAGAGAAATTAGATTTTTGTTAAGTTTTCAAAAATAAATTTAATTTTTAAAAAGAGCTAACATTGGTTTTAGTAGAGTTGGAAGCAGTGAGCTCAAGTTCCAGTTCTTCTCATGACCTTCAGCTTCTCATCTGCAAAATGGGTATAACAACATATTCTAGTCTAGGGGTGAAACATATAGATGGATAGCTATATCTATAGGTATAGCTAGATATATTGGCATACATACATAATGGATAATTTAGGGAAGGAGACAGCCTTTAATAATTTCAGGGAACAGGAAAGACTTCTTGTAGGAGATGGCACATGGGCTGAACCTTAGAGGAAACTCAGGATTATAAGAGGGAAAGTGAGAAGGAAGGGCATTTCAGAAATGGAGTTAGGAGTGCTGCATTGAGAGAATGGTTGATAGGCCAGCTTGACTGGAACATAGAGTACATGAAGGGAAGTAATGTGCAAAGTCTAGAAAGATAGGCTGGACCCAGATTGTGAAGTGCTTTCAACACCAAGTTAGGGAGTTTGTATTTTATCCTGGAGGCACTAAGGAGTCATTGAAAGTTCCTGAAATGGTAGAGTGACAGGATCAGTGCTTTAGGAAGATTATTTTGTCAGCTGTGTGAAGGGTGGATTGGAGGAGAGAGAGATCAGGTGCTAGGACTTCAATAAGGAGACTGATGCAATATAGTCCAGACAAGAAGTGATATAGGGCTTGAACTAGGGTAGTGGCTGGATAAGCTTACTGAGTGGGGATGGTTTCATTCTTTGCACTTGTATGTACCTTCAGGGTCTAGCACAGTGCCTGTCATATAGCAGGCTGATAAATGGTTGTTGATTGATCCAAGAGATGTTGGAGAGGTAGCTTGATAAAACTTAGTAACTGATTGAATGTAAAAGTGAGGGTGAAAAATTAAAGATAACTCCCAGGCTGTTAACCTGGATGTCTGTCCCCTCAATAAAAACAGGAAGTGGGAAAGTGGCAGATTTAGGGGGGAAGGCAATAAGTTCCACCTTTAATATGTTGAGTTTGAGATGCCTCTTGGGACATCCAAGTGAAGGTATCCAACAGGCTGTTGGTAATGTGGGACTGGATTGTGGAAGAGCAACTAGGGCTGGATATAAAAAGATCTAGAAATCTTCTGCATAGAGATGGCAAAGCAGCCCATGGGAGCTAGTAGGATCACAGAGTGAGCATGTAGAGATAGAAAAGAAGAGGGTCCAGGACAAACATTTTGGACACATCCAAGGTTAGGTTGTGGGTGACCCAGGAAAGGCGACTAAGAAGGAATGTTTGGACAAGCAGGAGAAGCACCAGGAGGGCAGAGTCAGGAAAATCCAGGAATGCTTTGGAAAACAGAATCAGATGGAGGCATGGGTTGATTGATTGCCTAAATGCTGCAGAGAAGTCAAGAGGAATGAAGATGGAGAAGAGTCCATTGGCTCTAGTACAGAGCAGTTTTAGTTGAACAGTGAGGGTGGAAACCAGACTTCAAAAGCTCGGCAAGTGAGAGGAAGCACGTGAAATGAGTGTGGACAGCAGGCAATAAGGTTTGGAAAATGCTGAGTTTGAGATAAGGGTCTCAGACCTGAGTGAGGAGACCTGCAGTCTAATCTGGACAGCCACATCAGAATTCCACTTCTACGTGGAGGTGTCTGTGTGGCTGGGGACAGGCTGTTTTTTACCTCTTGGAATTCCCTCCAAGATCGTCTCCAGTCTATACTGTACACATCTCCTTTGTATACAGCTGTTTACAAACCATCTCCCCCATTAGCTGTGAGCTTCTTGGGGGCAGGAACTGGTTTGGTTTTGTTTGCTTTTCTTTGGCTCAGTGCCTGGCACATAGGTACTTAATAACTGCTTCTTGACTTGACTTATTGGGCCTTGGTTTCCTGATCTATAAAAATGGGGATAGTGGTATTTAGGTTACTTACCTCAAGGAGTTGTTATCAGGAAAGGGCTTTGTAGACTCAGAGTATGGCCTAAGTGCTATTAATATTATTATCATCATTCCTTCAACACCCCTCCCCCACTCCCTGCACAATAAATACTTGCCAATTTATTTTATTTTATTTTATTGTTAGTACTGGGGCGTCCTATCTTGCTCAGGCTAGAAGTGCAGGAGCTATTATTCACTGGCGTGTCCCTTTCTGACTGGCAGCGTTACTTCTAGCTGCTCAATCCTGTTTTGGTCCTATTCACCCAACCTCCTTAGGCAGCCTAGCGGCCCCTTGTTTCCCAGAGCTCACCATATGAATGTGTAACTTAGTGTGGACACTCCCTCAGTTCAGTACATTGCAGCTCAGAACTCCAGTGCCCCAGCAATCCACTAGGCCAGAGGTAGGATCACCTGTGTATGCCACTACACTGGGCTTGATTTTATTTTTCTAGTGGCTAGTTTCTTTCCGCTGCAAATCATGCTTCTGTATCGGGGGAATATTTTGGTCTTGTTTCCTCATTAGACTGCGCTCCTCAGGTATGGGGATTGTCTGTCTCCTCCTTTTTCACTTCCACTCCATACAGATTCTACACATTGAATTTACCCTCCCGACTGACTGATCAAGAAAAGGAGTGCCTGGCTGGTTGGGAGGATGAGAGGGAAATGGGAACAAAAAAAAGCCATTGTTCTCCATGGTGGTTTCCATGCCTCTTGGTGATCCTCCAGGCCCGGTGGAGCTCCAGAAACTTGGCAGTCACACAAAGGGCCAGGTTAGATCATCAGACCAACCCTTAGTCTGGGGATGATGGGGCAGTGACTCAGGTGGCAGGACTCTGGGCCCAACCCATCGGTGCTGGCCAGGAGGGCTTGCTTAGGCCACATTCTAGAATGGAAAAGGTAATTGAGTGCAATCAGGGACCTGTTAGTCTTTTTTTTCCCCAAAGGAACAAAGTTATTTATTGTTACATAGCCTTGTGTTGTTAAATAGTAGCGTACTTTACTGTACAGAGGAGCACACTTTTGATTTACAAGATGTTAACAAAAGTCCAAGTCCAAGGTTTCTTGAAGAGCAATGCAAACATTTCCCAATGACCGTTCATGGCTCAGCTTAAAACAGCTCCCTTTGACTTCTGAAGGAACAGTAGCTAAAGACAATGCCAAATGCTGACAAGCATATGGCAGTGTGATTTGGTAGCTCCACATTTCATTTCACTGGTAAGTCTGATGTTACCCAGAGCAGGATTTCACTGTGTGCGTAATGAAAAGGCACCCCTCCCGGAATTTTCTTTTTACCACGTAGTTTTTCGGAACAAGAATTTCACAACACTCAACCTCTATTTCCAAGAAATAATGCTTGACTACATTTCACATATATTTCAAAGTAATAAAGTTTGAAGGAGGAACGAGTCAAAATCTCAAGGATTAAAAAAGACATCCTTTGGCTTCTGAAAGGGTACGGAAACGAGGTTAGGTTCAGGTAACAAATCACAAACATATAACACACCGAGGATTTGGCAAGAGTAACATAGGCAGCATTTTCTGCCAGTTTTTTTTTTTTACTGAAATGTTTTGCAGTGCTTAAAAGGGAGTAAAATCTAATAGAGAGCCTCAAGAAATGTCAATTAGTAAACTGGAAATCTAGTTTTAAAGCCAACTCTCTTTTCTATAATCATGAATAACATCTGAGGGTCTGTTTATCCACCCAGCAATCCGTGTGACTTTGCCATTTTTCTCATTTTCTTTACCCCATGTCACAAAGAGCCACCATAGTAACAATTCTGATGCCATAGAAGATTATGACTTCAGGAGCCCAAATAAGAGGGATTGTTATTTTCAAAAGCAGATTAAGTTGCTTTTTAAAGAGCAATGCAAAAAAGTCTAGGTAATAAATTTAGAAATTGCATTTGGAGACAGTTTTTCACAATACTATTAATCTATTTGAAAAGTAAGCTATAAGTCAAATCAAAGTTAATTATGCAAAAGGAAAAAGCTGAGGCAGGCTTAAAAGAAAGACAGAATAAGTAGAAATAATTTTACAGAGAATAAAACCAGGGACTTCCCAACTGTAGATGTGTGCAGCTCTACTCTGAATAGAACCAATGTTATTTGTCAGGAAAATCACAGGATCTGGGTTGGAAGGGATTCTCAGAGGCCTCACAAAATCTGAGTGGTAGAGATGGAAGAGACCTCACGCCATCTAGTCCAAGACTGGCCATGACAGATGTGCAAAACCAAGGCCAGGATATCAGAAGAGTCTCGCCCTGGATCACAAGGTTAGCTAAGAGCAGTCCTGGGGCTTTGGAGTCCCAACCTGGAGCTCTTTCCCTTAGACCACACCTGTCTCCTCATCTGCTGCCATTCCTCCCTTCCAGGTTCCTCTCTACACTATCTTTAACCAGATCAGTTGCTCTCTGATGGAACACCTATGGTGATACCACCTTGCAGATGTTTATGGCATTCTTAGACACTCCTAATTGCTACAAGACAATTTTTCATGTTCCAAGAAAGTTGTCTTTCTTTTTCCTATGCCATTCAGGCCTAGTAGTGGTATTACTATACATTTTCCAACTCATTAGTGTTTATTTTTTTTTACTTTGTAGGGCAATCATAAACATAAATGTCAAACTTTTTATTGTTTTTGCTTCTTTGTGTATTTGTAATTTATCTCCTTTCTATTTCTCTTTTAATATATTGAGCTTCATGAAAAAGATTAAAATACTTATCACATTAGCTTTTATGTATATGCCTTCAAAGCAAATCTTGTGTAAAAACAAAAATGGAGACCTTTACCCTCAACCTCTCCTGACACTGGCAGTTCTGACCACAAATGACCTACCTTTCCTACACTCATGTCCTAATTCAAAACATGCCATGCAGGAGGGAGAGAGAGTTAGGCCAGGGTGGGATTACCCTTGGGGCAATTAGAACACCTGCCCGGTGACTTTCCAGGGGAAAACCTCTCCTTTGTTTCTTTTTGAAGTTTTATGGTTGCCTTTTGTTTTGACATCACCACCATTTCTGGATGCAGCTCTGGGGAGCCTTCATTTGGAGCAGAAATAGCTGTCAAAATTCAGAATAGTCCCTGGCACAAAGTGCATAATAGATATTTGTTCATGTGACTGGCGCAGTATATGTAACATTTCACATCAGTCTTTCATCTCTCCAGTGATACGAGACAAGCACACATCTCCATCTCTTCTCTGGGGTCAAGATTGTTATTATACAACAATACATTGAAAAATCATAATTTTTCTACTTTCCAATGGGCAGTTGTGGTGAGAAAGGAAGAAATAGAGGCCCAACCCTTCAGAAACTTAGAATTTGGTCTTATTTCATGGAGATTTGTATGGCTTGTTGGAGTTAAACCCCCATAGACACCTTGCAGCTTGTCTTAGTGCAGAATACAAAAGGTAACAGTAGAATACCACAAGAGAGCAACTGGGGATGAAGGATTTTCCACTCTTATGTGCTCACAGGCCCCAGACAGGACCCTTGGAAGCATCATGGTATAGTGGAAAGAACAAAGGACCAGGTTTCAGGAGAATTAGATATGAGTTCCAGTAATTTGCTGTATGACTTTGGGGAAATAATGTCTTTTCTCTGTGCCTCAGTTTCCCTACTTGTAAAGAGGTCCAATCAGATAATTTCCAAGGTCTCTTCTAGCTCTGTCATTGTGATTTTGGGGCCAAGTTTGGGAAAGGCAAGGGGATGTTAACAAGGGACTAGACTAGTGTCCTTGAGAGAGCTGGGGCCTAGGCTGGTGACCAGGGTGAAGGGTCAGAAAGGGACTGGATGGTCTTCTCAAAGGAGGCCAGGCAGGAGGCTTGATTTCCAGGAGTTCAGAGCCTTGCTGCTCACCCTCATCTCCTTGGGTCCACTGTGTTTCTACCTTTTAGAGCTCACCTCATTCAGGTGAACAGGACACTGTCTTCTTGGTGGCAAGTGGTTCCCTAGTAATCACTGCTCACCTGGCCCCTTCCCCAGAGGAAATCTATGAAGTGCCCACTCGCTCTTGCCCTTTGCTGGACACACTTTCAAGGCTATTCCTTCCCAGTCTCAAAGCCAAGAGCACTTGGCTGTTTTTCACTGCCCTACCCCCCCCTTCCCCCAGCTGGGGATGCCAGTAGGCTGGAAATCAGATCTCTTTCTTCCTCATCCCCTGTCGTACTAGACCCAGTGGGGAGGCTGTGGTGCAACGGGGTGTGACTGATACAGCTTGACATGTCTTTCCTCCTTAGGAAGGGTTCTAAGGTTTAAGGGTACATCTGGAGATGAATACATATTTTTTTTTAACTTGCCAGACTCAAGCTTCCAAATCTAGGACTCTTGAACCCTCAGGGTAGACAGCAGCTAGTCTCAGGAGACAATGGGGCTTTCTTGTCTCTGGACAGGGCTTAGGCCCTAGGGTGTGATGACCTGGATAAGGCCCATTTCCCCTCTTATGAGATGGCTGCTTATGCTTTTAATGATTCCTGCTTTTAACCACCGCATGGCCTAATGCTCACAGAAGTCTGGCTATAGAGGCAGCCCTTGTCCTTGGGCAGTTTTCAATGAACGAGCCGAGGTGTTCCTATGGAGCCATATTTCTGCGAGCTCTGCGCTCTCTACTCAGCCCTCTTGTCTGTCACACCTTGGACCCTAGACTTACTCTTTCCTCTGGGTATTATTTTGTTTACCTCCTCCATACCCCAACCACATCTCCCTGAAGTTGTCTCCTCATTCTTAGGCACTCCCCCCACCCCTGCCACCTCCGAGTAGGGCCTCTATAAATTCAGGAGGCACAGACCATGTGGTTGGCTGAGGACATGATTACAGCCTGGGTCTTGATCTCCCTTTTGGTTCCAGCTGGTGAGACCCCAGCCCCTTACCCCCACCCTGGTCTTTTGTTGAGTGTTTTTTTTTCACGTTATGCCTCATACTCAGGCTAGAAAGGCCCCACACATGACATTTCAGTGGTGTACCCAGACTGCTACTGTTGCTCTGAGGTTGGTTGGCTTGGGGGAAGGGAGGGCTAAAACAGACATAGAAATGAAGGTATGCAGAGAGGCCTACGGGCTGTATCAATAGGATTTGGGCCTAGGAGATAACAGCTTAGTAGAAAGAACTGCAAGACCAGAGTCTGATTTTGGCTTCGAGAGTGAGGATCAACATTATTCCAGGTGTCACTACCAAGGGCCAGAGTTGTTAGCCTTTACAAAGGGCAACAGGAGCCCCTCCACAGCTGGCCTCAGAGAGGAAAAAACTACTTCCAAATCCCAGTAATTTTGGATATTACTGAAGCCTTGAAAGGCAAGTTTCTTTCTCTCTGGTGTGGTGGACAGAGATTTCTCCCTCATCTCCTGCCTTTCTTCATATGTTCATGACGCCTTCTACCTCACCTTCTCAGGTGAGCCACTGCCCCTGGATGAAGGGTTCTTAACTTTTTTTATGTTACAGATCCTTTGGCCATCTGGTGAAACTTATGGACTTTTCTCAAAATAGTAGTTTAAATGCATAAAGTACATATAGCATTATAAAGGAAACCAAGTGTTAGTGAAAATAAAGATGGAATTTTTTTCCCATCAAAGTTCACAAAGCCCCTGAAATCTCTCCATGGATTCCAGGTGAAGAATCCCTGACTTATAACCAATTTCCCAATGTGGCATTGCTTGGCCACCTCTAATCTCGTGCCTCTCCCTGGACTGAGCTGGGGGAGAGGGGTGGTGAGTCATCCCTCCAATCAAAGGAGCCCTCTCTCTCCCTAGTTCCTTATGAGCCTTCAAAATTTGCTCAAGTCGTCCTGGAAATTCTCTTGGGTGCTTCCTAGTGCGAATAGGTGCAACATTAAGCATCCTTTTTATGCTTCCTTCTCTACAGCCCCACTACCAGAGGCCTATGCAAGCCTATTACCACACCCCACGGAGAGGGTTCTGCATGCAAAGGAGGGGGGTGATGGTGTTACCAAAGAGTCAGAAGCCATACTTCCTGCCCTCAAGAAGCTTGTCCTTTTGGGAGAAATGTAAACAGACGACACCCAAGGCTTAAACCAATCTGTGTAGGTAATGTCAAAGAGTAACAAGCCAGGCAGAGACAAGGCTAGTAGTGACCTGTTTATTTCCCCAGCCTTTGGGCCTTTCTGACACACTATCACAGTCCCAGATGCAGCAGGGCCAAAGCCAAGCTGGAGTCTGGCAGACACTCCTGCCCCACCTAGGGCCTTCAAGGCCCTTTACAAACATAAGTGGGAGGGTGAGTAGGACTTGATTAGTTTTTGCCCATAGGACATCAAAGGATTCACATTGACCTAGGAGAGAACACAAGAAAAGCCCTGGGTGGACTCCTAATTTGGAGCAAAAAGCCGGGGCTGGGGAGAGAGATCATCAGGAGAGAGCCAGACCAGCCATTACCACGGGCAAGGACCAAGCTATCAGTGTGAGTGGCAGCTCTCTCTGGGGCTCATCTGAGAACCAGAGGTTCTGGACAGCTCCATGTTCATTCAGGGGTGGAAAAGATCACCTGCACTGCACAGCACAAAGTGGAAGAGGGGTGGGGAGGTGGGAGGGCAACCAAACCATAATCATCAAGATAAGCCTCAGCGTCCCTAACACACGGAGAGTGTAATTATTCCCAGACTCTCCTAGACGTATATAGAGGAGCCAGATCAGACACATTCTAGTGCACAGCAAGGCACGCCGAACGAATAAATAAATAAATAAATATAGCACAGCTGTTCCTATCTCAAAATAGTTTAGAAATTCTGGGCTTTTTCCAGGAAGATCTCTAGAATGGTCTGGCCCCACAAAGAAGTTAAGATACAGTGGTAGTGTAACCAGTCACAAAGGGGGGAAAAAAGCAAGCCCAAGAATCCCGCACCCCAAGCTGGGCTTCCAGTCCCTTCTCCTCTGCTCCTTGGTTTCTCAGGAGAAATGTAAGCCAGACGCCCCTGGTCTCCAGTGCAGGGTCCCAACCCCTTGACAGGGATCACAGAATAGTCCTGGGTGAGTGTCAAATTTGAGCAGTGCGTCTGTTGTGTGCAGCCTGCAAGTCACCGCTCCCTAAGCCTACCCAGGAGCATATTCACAGGCCTGGCCCTGCTTCCCCGCGCTGGAGCAGGGGTGCTCCCACACCACGACCAGAGTGGGGAATTTTCACAGAACTCTCTTTCCTTCACATTCTGGCTCTGTGGAGGACAGGGACACACCAAGACAAATAAATGTAAAGGGGAGTGACTGTTGGATCCTGGTATTTTCAGGCTCACTGGGGGTGGCCGGGCCTGCCAAGGGGCCCATGCCATGTTCACCTACTACAGATAGACATGCTGGTGCTGGGCCCGGTTCTTTTCTGAATGCACACACTAAGGCAGCTCCGCTCGGGGCTTCCCTGTCCATCACCTTGGGATTCTCCTCTCCGGGTAGGGGTTAGAAAAACCACCTCAGAGCCCAAGATTGGCTCCACAACTGTTCTAAAAACTTGGCAAAATAGTTGGGCACCTGAATCCTGTAGCTGTTGGTGATATATATGTGGGTTATAGGGCCCACTCTGGCACCTGTCTGCAGGCAAGGCAACCCCTTTGCCAACGCTGGCTCCTGCAGAGCGGACAGACCCATTACCTCACACTCTGGTCAGATAGCAGAAGAGGATCCGTGGGGCCCAGAGTCCCTCACAGTTAGGTGCAGTATGGAGCCTTCCCTCTAGTTTGCTGATTCAGGGGTGGGAGACGGTTCAATTTCTTTGTTCAGTTTCTTAGATGGGCACTTCACCATGTCATCTCCTCAGGGGATGCTCCCCGTTTGTAACGTGTTCTCCCTGGCTCTATCCCTCATCAAAGGCACACACCCGTGAGGCTCTCAGGAAGCCAAGGGACAGATGGAATGTCCCACTGGGCCCCACCGAGAGAAGATAGGGTACAGAGCTCGCCATGCCAACCTCAAGAGCTTTAGCCTCCAAATTGGGAATTAGGAATAGAGGGATTGTGACAGGACAAGCCAGACGGTGGGGATAGGAAGGGTGGCTCCCTTACCAACCTAGGGTGGCAGCATTGACAGAGGGGAGAGGGCTACAGCAATGACTAAGTCAACCATTCACGGTGACAGCGCAGGGCTTGACAGTAAGGACTTCCTGGCTGCCTCACTGAATGCCGACAGCCGCATTCACAGAAGCAAGTGCAAGCAGCTTGGGGCTCATCTTGGGAGTTTTGGGAATATCCCAATTTTGCTTGAAGTCCCTTCCCCATCCCTGGCCTTGGGAAGGAAAGCAGATGCCCTGGGCCCTGGGGAAAGCTGGACTGAGGATGCCAGTCTTGCTCGTGTCATTGGCTGCCCATGGGGAGTGGGTTTTCTCCTAGCGCCGGAAAAGAGCTTCTCATGAGCCTCCCCAAGAGCAGATGCCCAGGTGGCGGTGAGACACCTAGGAGATCAAGGGCAGAAGCCACATTTTTCAAGTTTCATGCCCATTTCCCAGAATGTTCCACTGCCTCTGGTGCACGAAGGTTAGGAGAACTTGATATGATAAATAAAGCTAGGAGAGAGCTCTCCAACTGTGTTCAAACCACCAAAACTACCCAGGCAGCATGGAAAAGGAGACCTGCCCAAGCCCTGCCACAGGCAAACTCAGACTTCAAGGCAGAAGTCCCTCAGCTCAGCTCTCTCTGGGAAGAGGGGAAGGGAAGGGATGGGCGTCTGCAGGTCTTATCTTCATAGATCTCCCAGGGATGGCTGCTCCATCCTCCTCTACGGACCAGCAAGACTGGAGTAGCGCCTCCTTCCTTCCTGCTATTTCACCAAAGTCCCATGTGGCAGCAGTTCCACGTAGCTCAGAGCACTCTGCAGGGAGGTCAGACAGTAACCTTCTTCTCCAATAAGATACCTGGCACAAAGAGGTCAGACAGAGGCCATCGTCAGTGTGGGGACACGATCCAGTAGGACTGGCCTCAGCATCGTTCTAGGGCCAAGCCCTCTCTCAAGGGATTCCTCCGCTATCATACACATGTGCCCCTACATTTTCTTCTGCCCTTCAGGACTGGCTTCTGGCTGGAGCAGACTGAGCAGCTCTTCAGAAAAGCAGGACCACCAGGGAAGCTGGAAGGAAACTCAACAAGCACTTACTGAACACCTACTGTGTGCAAGGTACAGCACTGGGCCCTGGAGATGGACAGACTCAAATGGAATAGGAAGAGCTCATGGTTAAGTTGGAGGTTTACTGAACTCTGTAAACTTACACTCCATTTTTATCCAACTCGGAGGACACCTGATGGGCCAAAGGGTTATGAATCTTGGCAACTCTCGCCTTTGTAAATAAAACGTGTGGATAAGCTGAGAATGAGAGGAGACGTTTTCTGCATGAGGCTGAGGAGGTGTGGCAGCACAAGCTGGAGCACCCAACTCCAAGGAGTGGCCGAGTGACCAGGGTGTAGGGGCTGCCCAGGGAGAGTCTGAAGGGCCCCTCACACATCCAGGGTCTCCCTGGGGGCGGGGGTGCCGACGCTCCCACGGAGACCGCCTTCTAGAATGTTCACACTCTGCCATTATCCATGGTCTCCTCCAGGCTCCCTCCCTCCCTTTCCTGTCCCATCATATTAAGGCTCAGATGACTCCAAGGTCCACTGGTCCAGCTTGCTCCCCAAGTCATACCCCAGGGAGCGGCTGAGTTGTCAAGTTTCATGAGCAGAACTGTCAGCTAACTAAAGAATGGCTCTGACCCCAAAGAGAGGGGTGGCCTCATGTCTCCTCTTCCCATATCCAAGGAGATGAGGGTAAGGGAAAAGACACAATGGACGTGACAGTGGGGATGATAGAACTAGGGGTTTTCTTTCTTTTCTGTTTCTGTCTTCTAATGACTTTGGCTTAAAAAAAAAGGCATTTCTAAGAAGTCATGTGCTCCGTGTTAACTTCCTAGAAATCAAAGAGGGTCTAAGGTGAGACTCCAGGTCCAATAAAATCAGTGAGGTGGGTGTGGGAACAAGAAAGATCCCAACAATTTTAAGACAAATAACAGTTTGGGAAGAAAAGCCCCCACCATATGTAACTATCTGCAGATCCCACTTCTGGTTGGGATGTTCTCTTCTGTGTCATGACTGCTCTGGATGGCTAAGTACAGAGTAATTCTGAACAATTAACCAGGAACAAAGACCAGGATAACTGACTGGCTTAGAGCTCCAGAGAAAAGAACTGGCCAGACTCACTGACCCAGCCAAGAGCGCTCAGCCGCTTTGTGTACCGATTCTAGCCCTTTCTCCCAATCCCCTTCCAGCAGCCAGATTTCTGCCCAAAGAGGAGCAAGACCTTCTTGGAAAGATTCCAGAGGAGTCTGCCCTCCTTCCTGACCTCCCCAGCCCCTTCAGCCTCAGTCCCATTCCTACCCCTCGTGAATGAATTCCTCCAGCGCTGCACATTCAGACACCAACTGGGGGAGGTTACTCTTCAATACTACATACGACAGGATGGGTAACAGATCATCGGCACCACTGCAGGGAAACCAAAAATCACAGGAAGAAAGGAAGGAAACAAGCATCTGTGGAGCAGCTACTCTGTGCCAGACACTACGCTCAGCACGTGACAAATACTATCTCATCTGATCTTCCTAACAATCGTAGGAGGTAGATCTATTATTAATCCCATAGTACAGTTTAGGAAATTGAGGCAGGCAGAGGCGAAGTGACTTGCCCAGAGCTACACAGTAAGTATCTGAGGCTGAATGTGAACTCAGCACTCTACTCCCTGCACCACCGAGCTGGCTTAGAACTCAGTCAGTGTACTTTGGCCTAAGAATAACAGCTCAGGAATTCCAGTCAAATCAAGGAATCAAAGCTTAGCATCCAGAGGGAAGGCAGGCTGAGGTCAAGGATGGAAGGGCATGGTGCTATCCACACCAAACAGCAGCGCAGTGGGGATGGGCAAAGATCCAGGAAAGGAAAAATACACGTGGAAGCTACATCTGAGATCATTTTATAGGGGGGCCTACGTAACAAGTCTGATTTGTCTCCTGATGTTTTCTTCTGGTTATTCTTAGTATTGCCTAGACGGAAAGAAATCTGTCAATCTCCCATGCTTATTCCAAATACTAAAACTAATGAACAAATTATATTTCTGTTTTCTACATGGAATAATGAATTATGGGGGTAAACTTGTTTCTATTAAAACTAGAAGGCATTAGGGGCAGCTAGGTGACGCAGTGGATAGAGCACTGGTCCTGAAGTCAGGAGGACCTGAGTTCAAATCTGGCCTCAGACCAAACATTCGACACTTACTAGCTGTGTGACCCTGGGCAAGTCACTTAACCCCAATTGCCTAACCAAAAAAAAAAAAGGCATCATTAGTGACAAAATAGATGGTGTTTGCATAAAATAAAGAAATTTCTATAGAATTAAAAATAGAAGATTAGGAAAAACATTTGTGGTAAATATGACAGACAAAAACATTTAAAATGCATAAGGAACAGGTAAAATATAACAAAAATAACTTATAAGTCACAACAGAAAAATGGCCTAAGAATATGAATAGAGTTTTTTCAAAAGAGGTAACACCAATCGTTGATTACCACTTGAAAAGATGCTCAACCTGGGGCAGCTAGGTGTCACAGTGGATAGAGCACTGGCCTTGGAGTCAGGAGGACCTGAGTTCAAATCTAGTCTGAGACCAGACACTTGATACTTACTAGCTGTGTGACCCTGGACCAGTCACTTAATCCCAATTGCCTCACATAAAAAAAAAAGAAATGCTCAACCTCACTAATGCCTAAAGATATGCAAATCAGACAACTTTAAGGCACCATCTCACACCTGTAACATTGGCCCAAATAATTTAATGCCAGTGGGGTTGCAGAGAAAGAGGCACAATAACTTTTTTTGGTGGAATGGCAAGACAGATGAATCTTATTGTAGAACAATCTCTCTTTGTACAAGTACAAAAAAAAATCACATCCTTTGACCAGCAATCCCATTATTGGGAATACACTCTAAGATGTTATCAAAAACAAGAAAAGGAGGAATTTGTTCAATGTTTTCATAGCAGCATTATTCATAACTGAAAAAAAAAAAGAGAGAGAGAGAACCTAAACGTCCAAAACTAGGAAAATGGTTACCTAAATTGTGGCCCACTGACAATGGGATATTATTAATACATAAAATTCACATGAGGCGTGTAACTGTGGAGACAACTTTATGAAATGCAGTCAGCACCAGAACAAGCACATCAGAGGAAAATGAGGAGGAATGGAGGACAAAGATGGTGAAGATGAAATTTTATGCATTAAAATTCATTTAAATATAAATTGTTACAAAGTAAGTTGGTTGTGTTGACATTTACTGTTAAAGTTCTATTAATAAATCGTTAAAAATGCAAAACTTAGGGTACCCTGAAGCTGAGGTCAATTCAAGATGGTAGATTAATGGAAAGAAGAAAAATATAAGAGGCCTTTCCTGCCTCTGGGCAGATGCCCAAGTGCCCTCTGGGCCAGCATGACCCTTACCATAAACAGTGGACGGGCAGGACAGGCCTTAAGGGAAGCCTCTCTAGCACTTGCCAGGCGACTTCAAGTAGGCTTTCCCCCACTGGATTGTGTGCCTTACTCTGGGCCCATCACAGCTGGCTCCAGCCCCTTCCCTGCCTCTCCCCATTTGTAAGATTCCCACGTAAATTCAGCTCTGGTGCAGAGAAGGGGTGGGAAGGTAGGGGCTGGCAGTAGTCCTCTTCTCGGTGCTGGGGGTCAGGAAATGCTGGCAGCCCAGGACGCAGCAGATCCTTCTGGTTCATGCTGCTGCCAACAGCAGGTCACCTTACCCTTGAACATCAGGCCAGAACCCAAGGGCCTGTCGGGCTGCCCCCTCAGTTTGCATTCCACAGGAGACTGGGCCCTGGAAGGCCCACCAGGAAGGTCACCCTCCCTGGGATACAGAGCCTGTTTTCTACCGCCCCTGCTATGGATATCTGAGTGAGCAAAGGATGTGAACACCAGGGGAAGGAATCCTGCCTGCTGGTGGCCAGGAGCCACACAGTTCTGAGGGCAGTCCCCAGGCCCTCCTGGGAAGGGATGTTCAGGCAGCTGCTCTCTCCACAGGTGCCCCTGTCCCACTCTTCTGTGCCTCATTCAGCAGATAGCACCCACCATCACCACCACCTTCACTTTTTCCCTACTGTTCTTTGCTCTCTATGATCCCTCCAATTGGCTTCCTTGCTGTCCCTCAACCATGACCCTCCCCTCTCCCATTCCTTTGAACGGGCTGTGCCCAGAGATGGGAACGACTATTTTCAGTCATAGCTCTCAGAATCCCCATTGTCCTTGACAGCTCAGCTGAAGCAACACCTTCTACATGAGGCCTTTCCTGACATCTTGCCAACTGTCTTCTGCCCACCAAAATTACACTCACATATTCACTTTGTGTATTTTTATATGTGTGCATGCATCCTCCGATAAGCTACTTGAGGGTGGGGAGTGACACTTTGCTGGCCTTTGTCTACCCAGCACCTAGATTAGTGCCCAACACGTAGCAGTCAGTCAAGTATGGCTTTTCTGCTTTGCTTACTGCCATCCCTGCTCCCTTCCCATTGTCTCCTATTTATGCGTCTGTTTTGCAGTCAACAAGTGTTTACTAAGCACCGATTCCCCTCTACACCAGGCACTCTGATAAAGCAGAAATGTGGTCCCTGCCCTCAAGGACTTCACGTCCTAACTGGGGAGATAACAGACAAAGAATTGTACAGACAAGACATATAGAGTGGAAATGGAAGGTCATTTCTGAGAGAAGGCACTCGCAGTGGGGAAGGACTTGGAAAGGCCTCTTCAAGGAGGGATCTGAACTATCTTGAAAGAAGCCAGGGATACCAGGAGGTGGAGATAAGGAGAGAGAGCATTCCAGGCATGGGGGAGAGTGGAAAAGTGTGGAGTCAGGAGATGGGATGTCTTGCTCAAGGAACATGAAGAAGGTCAATGTAGCTAGACCACAGAGTATGTAGAGGGGAGGAATACTTAAGAGGCTGGAAAAGAGACATTCTGGAAAGCAGTTTGGAATGAAGCCCCAAAACTATTCAATGCTACATACCCTTTGACTTATCCCACTACTTGGTCTATTCCCAAAAAAAATCAAAGGAAGAAAGAAGGACCCCTATGTATGAAAATATTTAGGGCAGCTCTTTTCATGGTGTCACAGATTTAGAGCCCGAGGGGGTGCTCATCAGTCTGGGAATGTCTGAACAAGTGATGGCATATAAATATGATGGAATGCTACTGTGCTACAAGAAATGATGGAGGGGATGGTTTTAGAGAAATCTGGGTGTGTGTGTGGGGAGGAGACTGAAAAAGTAGAAAGGGGCCAGGCTGTGAAGGCATTTAAAACCTAAACACATCCTGGATTTTACTAAAGTGGAGGTGGGGTGGGCTGGGGGTGACCTGGGCAGATCTCTGCTTTAGCAAGGTCACTCTGGCAGCCACGTGGAGGCATGGCCTGGCCTGGGGAGGGCCTCAAGGCAGGGAGACCAACCAGCAGCTACTACAAAGGTCCAGGCAGATGTGAGGGGAGGGCCTGCACCAGGGCAGGGGCAGCACCAGAGAACGGAAGGGGGCATATCCAAGAAGCCTTGTGAGGACAGAAATGAAAAGACTTGGCAACAAACTGGATATGCAGACTGAGTGCGAGTGAGGAAGTGAGGACAAAGCAGAGACTGGGTGACCTGGAGGTGGTGGTACCTTGACAATAACAGGGAAGTTAGAAAGAGACGAAGGTTTTGGGGAGAGGTAATGAGCTCTGTGCCAGACGTGTTACATTTGAGATGTCGATGGGACACTGACTCTGAGATGTCCAAGTGGCAGCCGGTGACGCGAGACTGAGCTCAGGCCTGGATAAAGAGCTCTGAGAATCATCTACAGAGAGATGACCACTGAACACAGTGGGTCACAAGCCCCTCTTGCACCAAATCCAACCCTAAATACAGGGGAAAACAGCTGCAGTCCAGGCTTCAAAAGGAGACATTTGGAGGCCTCAGCAAAATGGTGCTGTGTACAGCGTCTATCTCCTCCTAACCTGCCCCTGGGCAATCACAGCAATGGTTCACGTCTATATAGCTCCTTAAGGTCCGCAAAATGCCTTTTTACACAATATCTCCTTCGCCCTTCATGGAACCCTCTGCAGTATATGCTATCATATGCATTTTATAAATGAATAAAGGAAAGTGCAGACCTGTTCATAGACTAGCCTAGATCACACCTTTGCACCCAGGGATTCCTGAACGGAGGATCACTGCAGCTTTCACAGCGATCCCATGGCCCTCGGAGGCCCGCAGAAGGAGGAGGGAAGAGATAGAAGAAGCTGGTCACACTTCGACCCATCAACTACAGCTGCTGGGGAGCCACAGCATCTAGGACCCGCCTAATCCCCAACTGCCCAGACCAGGGTCGTCTTATTCTTGATCTCAGCCCCTTTCCCACTTGGCCTAGCTTAGGAGGAAGCTGCTTCAGGCTGGGACAGTCAAGAATAAGATCCCAATGTGGGGGGTGATGGCTAAGAGAGACAGGGACAGGAAATAGTGAGAGGAGAGGTGGGCAGCTGCCCAACTTCTGGGGCTCAGATGGTGGGAGGAGGAGCAGGGAGGATAAAGAAACCAAGGGGTCTCTGGGACCCCAAAACAAGAAAAAGTAGTGGCATTTAAACTCAGGATGCAGGACAGAGCACCTGAGCGGGATGGGAACAGGGAAATGAGGGTCACGTTATGAAGTGAGGGTGAAAAGGGTGCTTCCTAGGAATCCTTCTGCTCCCAGCCCTCTGCCCTGGCTGGTGGGGGGGGGGCATATACTGAGTATGAGCTTTGGGGTCCAGAGTCCCGGAGTGATCGTTCCTGATCTAGGTCTCCAGTTTTCAGCCCAGGAAAGGCAGGGCTGAATGAAATCTGGGGGCTGGCATGGTCTAAGGTCAAAGACTTTCCAAGGAGGGGATGGGGAAGGCAGGCACAATGTATTTCCCTAAAGGAATGATAACAGCTAACACCTTAAGTATGTAAAGCATCTTACACAGGTTCTACCCGGCTGCACTCCTCTGGGCTTCTGTCCTCTCTGGGCACTCTTCCCTCACCCACAGCTTCCTTCTGTGCACTGTCTTCCCCCATTAGATTGTAGTCTCTCTGAGAGCGGAGACTACCTTCCTTTTCCTATTTGTGTCACTATCACCTAGCACCCTGCCTGGCAGAGCCTTGGCACTTTATAAATGTTTACTACTATCTCATCTGATCCTCACAACAACCTTGGAAGTAGGTGCTATTATTATCCCCATTTTACAGATGAGGAAAATGAGGCTGGGTTAAGTGATCTGCCCAGGGTCACATAACTAGCAGGTGTTCTGGGCAGACTACGAACCCTGGTCATCATGACCAGGCCCAGGGCTCTATCCTAGAGCTGCCTAGAAGGGCTTCTTGGCTTACACCACAGTATAGGCCTCTGGGGCTACAGTGGAAGTCTTCTGTAACCAGGCTCCAAGCAGCACAAACTGAATGCGTTCATAGGAAAAACCATCTATCCATCCCCTAGCTGACTCTGATGGCCATGATGCCAATCAGGCCATTCCTCTGGCTTCAGATGCAGAAGCTGCACCCACATCAACTTTTCTGGGGGTAACTGACTAGGTTCAGTGGAAGACATCTCTGAAGCCAGCCCAGCCCTATGCATGGCTTCTGTAGCAAACAAAGACATCCCCCTGCTGCTCGTGCCTTTAAAAAGGGAGCCTCAGGGGATGGTATGGAGAACACCAGTGCTGCTGCCAGACAAAGGTAAGACTGAGCCAGGGATTCTAAGCAGATGTTACTGCTTGTGCACTCCTAATGTGGCGTGCCGGCAGGAAACCCCATTTCCAGGGCCCTGGAACCCTGCAGACACCAGGGTCCCAGAACTGGGCATGATACTCACATGGCCATTGTGCTGGGCTGTAGGCGTGACTCCCTGGCGCCGCAGTATTCCTCAGCACATTCACAGATTATGCGAAGAGATCGAACTGTGAGGTGTGGAAGAGGAGGCTTTCATGAGACAGGCATACTCCTCGCCTCCCCCAGGCACAAATGACCGACTGCCCCTCCTATTACCAATGCACTCCAACTTCTTCTGCGGACAGCTCTCCAGAACCATCAGTCCCAGCTCCTGGACTGCTGTACAGTAAGGGTAGGAACCTGAGCCTCTGAGCCCCGACTCCTGAGGGAAGAGTTTGGAGGCGATGCCTAAGGTAGACGGAGGCATGTTTCCACAGAACTCCATACTCCTGCTGAGGGCTGTTTCTCTGGCCTGGTAGACGATCCTGTCAGAAGAGAGATGAGGGTTGGACTTGGCTTGCAGGAACAACGGCACAGGGAAGGCAGTCTCAGAGATCCAGGCTGACTCAGGGGGTTGAGGTTCCTAACGCAGGGCACTTCTGTGAATGGGAGGGTGGGTGGGTGGGGTTATCTGTACCTCAGCCCTTCCCACCAAAGCACTGTGGGGTGATCCTTCATACTGGTCTCAGGTGGGCATGTGTGAGAATGAGGGTTGGGAATTCCCTGTCAGGTCCAAGGAAAATCAAGTTGGATGGTTCTTCAGAAACCATACTAAGGGCACACACAAAGACAATCCCCAAGTCTGTGGTGAAAGATGAGACGAGAGGATGAGCAATGAACCACAAAGACCTGAAATGCAAAGAGTAACGCCACCCAACCCAAAACGAGACAGACTCCTACAGATGGCTATAGAAGAGTAAGGATCGACTCCCCCTCTCCAGAATGGGTTAAGGAATGAGTTCTCATTAAGACGAGAAGTAAAACTGGAAAACTTTCTAAAGAAACAAGAGGAACACAGAAGACAAAAGCTGCCCTTTTAGTAGAGAGGAGAGGGAACGTCTAAAACAGACGAGACTAGGGGAAACAAAGCTTCTGGATCCTTCTTTGTCTTTTAGTCTTCACAGCCAAGGTTAATAAGCTAACCAGGTAATGAATAATGAAGTATAACCAGGCCATGAACCAGGTAGTTGTGAAGTACAGGATGTCAAAATTCAAATAAGGGGGAAAAAATGACCGAAAATAGGAAGGATTCACACGAGCAGGCCCTAAAGCATGGAATCTGAGGCACAGGAATTGACTTGAGTTACTGCAGAACAAGTGTGTTTTGTAATCACATAGTAACCTAACATTTCAGCAAAATCATGGAGAGCTAGCAAGGTACAAAGGGGACAGTCGGCACCTTAGTAAACAGCACTGATTCTTAAAATGGTTTAAAAAATAAAAAAGAAATTTTAAATAGCTTCATTAGTGGAATTGGTCCCCACCTCCCCCCTCAAAAACAGGTTCATTTAGAACCAAGGAAGAGTAAACCTCTTATCAGGAGAAAACAAATAGCCTGAGATGTAAAATAAGAGGCATTTATAATAACTACCACTTATATAATTGCCTTCATATTTGTAAAGCACTTTACATGTGTTATCTCAGTTCATCCTCACAACAGCTTTGTGAGGTAGGTGCTACTACTATCCCCATTTTACAGAGAAGGAAACCGAAGCTGAAACAGTTTAAGTAACTTGCCCAGCGTCACACAACTAGTGTCTGAAGAAGAAAAGCTAAAAATGAGCCAAAAGACATTATGTACAGTGAGATAAATTCAAGTAGGTAAAAGAAATGCAAATATGATCTTGGGTTATAGTCACAGAAAGGCTTCAAAGATAATATGAGACACGGTCCTGGACCACAGAGAACTTACGGTTTAGCTACTTAGTGGTTTCCTACGCATAAGAACTAAGTGATTGATAAACAAAATAAGTATATGGAGGAGGAAATCCTTAAGGGCAGGAGTGGCCTAGGGACCTCGGAGAAGCAAAGGGAACAGAAGAAAAAATGAGCTTTGTCTTCCACAGGTTCACAGAATTTCAGAGCTAGAAGAAACCTCCGTGGCCATGTAAAGAACACCTAAAGGGAATCCTAACCATAACAGGTGGGGTGAGTTGTCTCCCAATCTCTGCTGGTAGACCTCTGATGCGGGAAAGCCACCACCTCCCAAAGGTGTCCATTCCGCCTCTGGCCAGCTCTAATTGCCAGGCAACGAGGATACCAGTCTGATTAAGGGAGAAGGCTCATGATGAAGAGTAGGCACCATTAGATACGGCAAACCGGACACCCTGAGCTGCCATACCTGTAGAGAGCCAGCAGCGGCGCCCATAGCAGGGAGAAGAAGGGCTCCTCAATGCAGGCCAGACATCGATCCTTGGAGGCAGCTGTGTTTAAGCCCTCAAATGCCAGGAGGGTAAGGGAAAGCAATCTGTCTGCCGGGAGCAGAATTAAGGACATTCATGAGAGGCCATGGGAAATGCTAAGGAGCCCCAGGTCCCAGTGGCCTTTATTGCATAATAGATCTCTGTGGAATAGTCCACACTGGCTGCTGAAATTCGCTCTTATCCTGCTCCCTAATCCCCAAGGGGTTCATGCCTAACACCTTCTGGGGCCTCCTATTTTCCCACAGATGCTGTATCTGTAGGCGGCCAGGCATCACAGGAATTTGCCTGATCTAACGGGCAGAAGCTTTTCGACCCTGTATATCTATCTTAATGGCTATTATCTGTGAATGCTAACCAGGAGAGACTCTGTAAAGACTCAGGGGAGGTAACCTTCCTTTCTTAGAGACCTGTGTCCCCCGAGCTGCTCCTGAGCTTATTCCAAGCACCATAAGCACAGCATGCCCAAGCTGCAGCTAACCTCAGAGTCCAGGGTTAGACCCACACAAGCAGAAGGGTAAAGCAGAGCTGTAGACTGCTCGTGAAAAGGAGGAGGGCTATGTACACTGAGTCCACCTCTGCCCCTCTCAGTAACTGGGGTCTGCATGAGAATTCAGCAGGAACTAAAGGAATGGGGCTGCTCTTCTTCCCCTCTCCTCAACCCCTTGGCCACCACTCTCCCTACTACTACTACCTGAGGCTTTCTTGGGAAGCCTACCATGCCACCTGGTCACAGCCACTTAGGCCCATCGGGCTCCTGATATCTGTGGGCCTTCCAGGGGGAAGTAGCAGTTAACAGTAGGAACAAGCAATCTCTGCTCAGGAGAGCAAGGCTAATTTTGTCTCAAGACCAAGGCGACGGAAGGCCAAATTTGGGTGGGACATGGCTCCCTCTGGTGGCCAAGGAACATCAGAACAGGAGATTCAGAAGAGCCCTGGGTGGGGCGAAACAAGTGTAATATCTGATCTTTGGCTCTAACTTAGACTTCCCTTTTCTTCCCCCTCCCGTCACTGCCCAGTGGCTGACCCTCACCAATGGCATTGTGCACATCCTTTACAATGCTCCTCAGCTGCTCCGGCAATGTCACTGGCTTCTTGCCAGGGGTCGGTGACCTTGTGAGCCCCCCAGGACCTCGGGCCCAGGTGTCTGGAGCTGCTAAGAGATGCTCCAGGTCCTCAAAGGAGCTGTCCTTGTCCAGCAGACTGGGAGTGACATCCACCAGGGGGGAAGGGGAACCTGTGGAGCTGCCTTCCGTTTCTTTGTCCGAGGGGCCAGGATGTGGCAGCGGGGTGGGGAGGCCAGCTGGTGAGTTTTCCTGGTTCAGCCTGACAGGCTCAGGGAGGGTGAACATGCAGTAGAGGCTTTGGGAAGCTCGAAGCCGCCGACTGCCAGGGGCCAGCAGCCCATTTGTGTCCAGGGAAAGGGAAGGGCAACCCAGGCCGGTCTTAGAGTCGGCAGCATGCTTGCTGATAATGGGATACAGCCTGTTGTATACGGCACACTGTAGCTTCTTCAGGAGTTGGGAGACTGGATGGTCAGGGAAACTAGAAGCCAAGGGAGAGCAGCTAGTTAAAAATGCAGCTAAGAAGCACTGAGTCAGCCGTGACACCAGGGAAGGACCGCTAGGCCAGGGACCCAGCTCCTGATCCTTCTGCTGCAGAAATCACTGTGTGGCCAGGGATAAAGCGTGTAGTTCCTTCAGACCTGCATTTCCCCATGGTAATGAGATGTCCAATTCCTACCTGACCTACCTCTCTCATAGGAAGACTCTACCCACACAAAACGGTTCTAGGCATTTAGGAAGGGCTATTGAAATCTAAAGGATCAAAATGGAGAGTCAAAGCAGCCTGATAGAAAGATCTCTGGATGCCGGATTTCCTGTTTCCAGCCTGACTTCAGCCTTCTATCTCCCCTGATCACAGGCTGAGAGTCCATGCACTTGGTCTCTCCCCACAGTGCAGCTGACGGCCTCTGGCCCTCCACACTCTTTGTCCAAGCTCTCATTTATCACTTCTCCCAAAGAGGCCACTGCTGTCAGCTCCTCCTTCTTCCTTTCTCTACATCTTATCACCCCTTGACAGCATCTTCCATTTCCTCCTTTACTCCAGCTTCTGATGAACAGGTAACCTTCTCTTCCCCAAGGTGAATCCTCCCCAGTGTAGCCTCGGTCCTATCCCCTCCTGTCTTCTCCAGTACATTATCCCTGCAATCATCCCCACCCCCCATCTTCCCACTCAAATCTTCAGTGTTTCCTTATCTACCACTCCCCTCTTTGCTGCTTACAGACATGCTCAAGTCTCTCTACCTGCAATATACTCTGCCATCCCCTCAAGCCATTGTCCCAAATCTCTCCTCCCACAGTTAATCTCCTTAACAAAACTGTCTCTAGACTTTCGTTTTTTCTTTTCCAATGGTGGTGAGGGGGTGTAGAGGTAAAAGGAGGAGAAAACGTTTGTTCATTGACAAAAACAAAGAAATGACATTTAAGAGGAAAAAAAGAACTGTGTACCCTCATTGCCTCTACCTTGTCTTCTGACTCCTCAAACCCTCTGCAATCTGGCTTTCATACTTGTTACCCCACCAAGTCCAAGCTGTGTATATCCTTATCAGGCCAGATCAGAACTCGGCTCCTCCTTCTGCCAAATCCTCACTCCTCTTCTGAACCTGTATATTTCCGCTGAGGGTACTTCTCCCTTGCATTCACCTCACACAACCAATCATTGACAAATTCTGTCCTGGATCTCTGCCCCCACCTTTCTCCACTCACACAGTCACCCCCCCCATTTTCAGGCCTTCATCACTTTTCACCCAGACCCTCCTAATTGATCTTCCAGCATCCAATCTCTCCTCCAAGTGTCAGATTTCTTTAAATACAGGGCTGAGCGTGCCACCCTCCTATTCAATAAATTCTAGACGTTCCTCCTTCTTCCCTCTAGCAGCAAACAGAAGCTCCTCCCTTTCTTTGGCATCCCTGGTGGTGGTGATGTCGGGCCAACTGCCCTCCAGCCAGGTTACCCTTTACTCCCATTCACATACCTCCCAATCTCTGCCCTCTGCTGGGAGCACACCAGGCTCTTTCTGCCTCTTAAGAATCCCTGTTTTCCTTCACACCTTGTCCCCGACCTTTTCCTGATTCTCCTCAGCTGCCAGTGCCCTCCCTTTTCCCATTCAGGGTCTGTCTAGTGTATACCTAGACGTGAGTATGTGATTTCCCCCACAGGCAAGGGCCACTCCATTTGTCTTTGTGTCTCTAGTTCCATCTGTCTAGTGTCTCTGCCATAGTGCAGAGGGCACCCAGACTGGAGTCGTGAAGAAGTCTCTTCCTGAGTTCTAATCTGGCCTCAGACACTACCAGCCGAGTGACCCCGGGCAAGTCACTTTACCCTACTTGACTCAGTTTCCTCATCGTCAAATGGGCTGGAGAAGGCAATGGCAAACCACTCCAGTATCTCTGCCAAGAAAACCCCGAATTGGGTCACAAAGAGTCAGATACAATTGAAAACGACTGAACACCTAGCCCAGCTCCTGGCAAGAAGAAGATGATTAACAAATATTTGCTGAGTGACTCACAACATCCTTCGCTAAAAACGAGCAGAAGAAACCCTGGGCTTGCTAATTCTAGTACTGCCTGAAAAAAGCTAGGGCAGACAAGATGTTTATTTGTCTGAGCTCAAAGGGTCATACATAGATCTATCACTGGAAGGGACCTCAGAAGCCCCCCAATCTAACTTTCTTATTTTTACAGATGAGGAAACTCAGGCAAGGCCTCCCTAGGCAGCCTGACATGGGATTTGAAGACAAAAAGATCTGGGTTCAACTTCTAAGCTGAGACAGCACAGACAAGTCACAGGCTCCCTGACCTCAGCTTCCACATCAGGAAGTCTATCTGTAAATCCCCATTCACAGGCTGGCTGGGAGGCTCCAATGGGACAATAAATGCAACCTGCTTTGCCAATCTGAAGACCCCATAAATATCAGCTGCAATAATTACCGTCCTTCTTAGGGAACCAGACTGGGTGGGGGAGTGGGTGGGGTCAGGTCTCCCATACCTGAGGAGGTGGCAGATGAGGCCTGTCACCAGCGAGAGGTCATTCGGGTTTCTCTTCAGTTTGGCTTTCCAGTGCTTTGGCCAATCCTGTCAGAAGAAAGGAGGCAACAGTCACCAGCAGCTTCTCCCCCTGACATGCTGCCTCCCTAGACGCACCTGCCAGAATCTAGGAGAAGCCCCTTCTAAGGCTTCCTGCTGCCCCCTGCGTGAGGAAGGCCCCATTGCCACCCCGCCCCTCCTAGCCAGAGGCCAGGACTCACGTGGTCTTGCTCATACTCCAGGATAGCAGCATAAAGAGCTCTCTGCTCCTGTTCTTCTGGGGTCAGGGTTACTCGGCTACAGAACCTCCTATGGAGAGAGCGTGGGGGCAGTGACTCAGGGACACCAGTGATGGGATCCCCACTTTCCAAACTCTCTGAAAGACATTTAAGCTTCACCTGTTAGCAGCTTCCTGCAGCCGCAGCCTGCGTTCCTCCATCTTTCTTTGTAGCTGGGGCAGTCAAGTCAAGGAGCTACATCTCTGCACTTGTCTAAGTCCCTGAGCTGAAAGGACCAGTCACCGTGGCTAAGAATTGGGGGTGTCATTCCAAGGGATACTCAGGCAAAGATAAAAGCCACTCCCAGGACTAAAAGCTTCTCGGGAGAGAGCTCCTCTCTGGGGCCAGCCAAAGTTAGATCCATCTCCCGGGTCATCCCTGAGCTTAAAGTGCTCTCAATCCTCCTACTCCCAACTGAGCTGTAGTTCTACACTTCCTGTACAAAAACCAAAGGAGCTGGAAAGGATACTGTCTCCTCCCGGGCTTTGGCAATTACCAAGTTCTCCATCATTTGCCGCTGCAGAGACAGAGTCTGTGGCGTGGAAGTAGAAAAGTGAGGCTCCCTCTATCATGGGCAGCCTGCTTTCCCAGCCCACCCCTGCTGCCAGCACCCCAAACCTCGGCTCCCATTCCAGCTATGGAGACTCTTCTCCAAGCCTTGGCCAGCAGATTCTCCACTGTGGCCAGAGACCAATGCCTGAGCCCAGGCCCCACTCACCAAGGACGTCTTCTGCACAGCCTGGCTGGGATTCAGCCGTGCCATCCGAGCCTCATAGGAAGCTTTCAGCTTCTGATTCTGTAATGAAGCCTCTTCCAGCGGCGTTAATTCCCTGCAAAGTTTCCATAAATTGACATACCGCCTTGGCATCCTCAGCATGCTTTGGCAATGACTGGTGTTCCTGGAGCCAGCCAGAGTACTAGTGGCCCCTCCTAGAGCTCCCTGCTCCAAACATACAAGAGGAGGGTGTGCTGGCCGGTACCACAGGGCACCTCCACAGCCCAACACACACTTGTTCTGTGAACTCTGGATTCAGTCAAAGGGCTTCACTTGAGGACCTAGAGGGCCCCATGTGGCCTCGAGGTTGCAAGTTCCCCAGCCCTGCTTTTAACCCAACCAACCTTGGGACCACAGGGTGCCAAGGAACTTTCCATTGCATTCAGGAATTCTGGAGCAAGCTATGGGAAAAGCCAGTCTGCAGACAGGGATGAGAAACAAATTGGACCTATCAGTTCCCACTTAGGCTCCCCTATCTTCTCCAGGAGCTTGCTGCCCATTTCAAAGGCTGTCGCATGCAATCAAAGGGCCTGCCCAGGGAGGCAAGAGAAGCAGAGTAAGGCTCTCAAGTCAGGCTTCGGAGTTCTACCAAGTCTGACCTGTCCCGTCCCATCTAGTCCCCCCCCCCCAGACACTTGGGAAGGCTCTGTCTAATACCAGTTTTGCCCCTCTTACTTCTTAGAACTTTGTGACTCCACCACCTGCAGCTTCTGGAAGATTTCAGGGGGCAGGAAGGGACATAGCTTTCCCCCCTCATCTGAATATACCCTGCGGTGTCGGCTGGCTGGGTTGTGGCCCGGAACAGGGATGGCCGGTTTCAGTCGGGCTGTCCCTGCATGATACACAAAGCCAAGGGTCAGAAGAAAAGGGGCCACACTTCGTATCAAAGGGGAAAGAGAGAACAAAGTCCCTGACAGCCCTTCCTTCTGCGCAGCACTCACCCAGTTTGGCAGCTGTTGACCTGGCCCTCTCCAAACACTGCTCAGCCAGCTTTAGCATCTTTGGGGTGTCTGGAGTCACAGTGTCACCCCCCTCTGATGGAGAGATAACAGAGTGAGTTTGGGTTCAGCTGGATCTCCAAACAGGGATCTTCCTAAGCTAGGGCAAGATGAAGGGTAAAGTGAGCAAAAACTACTTCTTTCCCCACTGTAGCCCAACTAACACATTCTTTTTTTTCCTATTAATTTATTTTGATTTATCAACAATCATTTCCATATGCTTTTGAGTTCAAAATTTTTCTCCCCCTTCCTCCCCACCCCCATCCCCAAGAGGATGCACAATGTGATATAGGCCATACATATACATTCCCAAAGAACGCATTCTTTTTTTTTTTTTTAGGCAACTGGGGTTAAGTGACTTGCCCAGGGTCACACAGCTAGTAAGTGTCAAGTGTTTGGTCTGAGGCCGGATTTGAACTCAGGTCCTCCTGACTTCAGGGCCAGTGCTCTATCCACTGCACCACCTAGCTGCCCCACAAGGAACACATTCTAATCCTACAGTTTTGTCTTTTCTCCTCCTGTCCTCATTTATACTCTGAGCCTTCTTTGAGAAGTAAAGATGGCACCAGAATTATTGTTTCTGTTTTACATATTTGAGCTACTACCATAAGGTGGAGAATTGACTTGACTTCCAATACCAGTGCGGGATTCAGCTTTTAAAGACCCATCAGGAATGAAAACTAGGTCTTGTGACCTCTCCTCAACAGAACAATGAGTACAGCTCCTACCTAGTTTCATGTATTGTCAGCAATGGGACAAAATATAATCCAACTATGAGCAGAGGGCTCTTCCACTTAGGGAGAAACATTGTGGAACTAGAACCACACCCCCTGAAGAGACTACAGGGAACAAGTCTTGAGAACCCTTGGAATTCCCTTTGGAAACAAGTGAAATAGACAATGTTCAACTTTCAAGTGCTGAATCTTTTCTATTACGAGAAGTTTGGAAAAAATCTAAAAAAACCTGAAACACAGGACCTGCCAAGTAATGGAAGCCAGTGCAGCTGCTCAGAGCAAAGGCAGAATTAACATTTCTGGGCCCGGGAGCCAGAGTCCCTTGGTACCTTTTGTAGTCCCTGCTTCTTCCAGCAGCACCTGGGAAATGTAGTGGATGCTCTTCAGGTACTCCAGATAAGCCTCCTATTTTCCAGAGAGGAAAGGAGAAGGTGAGGTCAGCAAGGGCAAAGTCAATCAAGGACTGCTCCACCTGATACCGGCCTAGAAAACTCAAGCATCTCAAACAACGGCCCCAGGGGTGAGGAACTTGAGACCTTGAGGCCACATGTGGCCCTCTAGGTCCTAATCTGTGGTGCTTCACATGTGGCTTCAAGGACGAAGCTTCCCCACCCCTGGGTTAAACCCTATTTATCAATTTTTGTTACTACTGCACCCATTTTTGGTTGATTTTGTTTCTTCTCTTCCAAAAGTCTAATCAGCACTATTGATTAGTACCAGGAGACTTTGAAGGAGTAGAGTCCATTTGAACAATCTAAAATTTAATGTGGCGAATTTTCCAACTTTAAAGCATTCTTGCTGTCTATAAAGCTTAACCCACATCATTAGTAAGCAGTAAGTGACTGGAAATCAACTGGGCATCTTCTCTCTGACTTCTCCTTAGACACAAGAAGGAAATGAAACTTTCACTTAAGAGGAATAGGAAAAGCAGCATCAGCCAAAACTTCTCACATGAAGTTTCCTTCCTATTCCCACAACTCATAGCTTTTAAAAATTTTCAGTTTTTAGGGTTTTTTTATTTTAAGCAAATCAATTAATTCAGAAATATCCTTGAATTGTCTCTTACTTTACAGCTTTTTTCAGCCCCTAGTTGGATATGTAGGAATCTAAAACCATATATTAAACTTATGGTTTCATGCATTGAGAATGTACCCATATTAACCTCTAGCCAAAGGCATAAGGCATATGATTCAGTCTACTGGGGTTATGGGATGCTGTGAGAGTACCTTTCAAAAATGTGTAATCTCCTTCCTCTGCATCTTTAAAACATTCCCTGGGGAGTTTACCATAACTACACACTGTAGGGGCAGATCCCTTTTGACACCGTTTGGGGCTGTGGAATATCAGTGGGGCGCTAGCATCTCAGATCGGTAACTTAAAGTACTGATGACCTTTGATAATTATTGAGGCCAATATGAATTCTCTATAGAATTCCTGACATCAAGGAAAACCTGTTCCCCAAGGAAATAAACTGAGAAAAAAGGACCTAGATTCAGGAAATTGGATTTCATACTACACCTGACATTTAGCACCTTCCTCCTTCCCTGGCCAGTCTAGTGGCTCAGCCGGCTTTTCTACCTGCTCTCCAGCTTTGGAGTTGGCTCTCTTCTTCCTAATTATCTACAATCCTTCTTGACGGTCTTTGCTCTTCTCCACTATTCTTCCTGACTGCTGCTGGGAGTCAGGCTTCTAGACCCAACAACTCCCCGAGGAGCTATCGAATCTCTAGTTATAAAAAGCCCGATTGATCTCCGGCTAGGTGGGACCGAAGCACCAGGGTGGAGCTCTGCTTTCGGTGAAGGGAGATTTGGGCCAAGAGACCTTTGGGCCGCAGCATCAGTTCCCCCAGGAGCTCCCGGCCCCGCTGGGGTAATCCTACACCTGCTTCGTGGGGCTGCCAATGCTCGTCCTCATGCCCTCCCGTTCGGGACCGTGCAAAGAGGGCTGTGCTTCATCTTTCAAGCTAACTCTCCCTCACCACACTCTACCTCTGAGCACGCTTATTTGCATCTCCTTCACATCTCCCAGTGGACTAGGGTAAGGTCCCTGAGGTCACAGACTGACCGCACCATTCTTTCTTCTATTTTTGCATCTCCTGTGCTCGGGGCACCCAGTAGGCACTTTAAAAATACATAAACTTTGTACTGAAGAGGCCCCGGAAAGTTAAGGAGAGCATACAGTGAGTGTCACTGGGGACAATTCCATCGGGAGCCCGAAAACCTCCCAATGCCTGAATGCTTCGGTATGATAGCCCCCCCGGTCACCCCCTCTTCTTCAGGGACAGGGAGCCCGGGGGTGCTCTGGGGCTGTGTAGGCGATGGGCAAGGGCTTCCAGAGGGGTCTGCACCCCTTCCCTTATTCATGGGTGTCCCTCCTCACAGGGGCTGCCCCTCCCCCTTTCCTTTCTCACGGGGGCTGCCCCTCCTCCTCCTCGTCCCCCACAGGGGCTTCCCCGCCACCCAGGGGCTGCCCCTCCTCGGACCCTCCAAGGGCCGCCCCTCCCCCTTTCCGTTCTCACAGGGGCTTCCCTCCCTCCTCTTTGAGGCTGCCCCTCCCCCTCGAATCCCCCTCCCGTGGGGGCTTCCCGGCCCCGCTCACCAAAGGCTGGTTGCCAGCGTCTAGTTCGATGGCTCCGTGGGCCAGCTTCATGGCGCTCTGCAGCGGCTTCATTGCGCAGTCCCCCGCGGCCGCCGCCGCCGCCGCCGCCGCCGCCGCAGTAGCCGCCATGGCGCCCGCCCGGCTGCGGGGAGGAGGCGGCGGCGGCGGCGGCGGGCGGGGCAGGGCATGGGGCCTGCGATCGGCCGGAACCTTGCGTCAAGGGAGCGAAGTCCTGGCGGTACACACGGTTAATGCACTTCCTCTGTTTCCCCCAGCACCCGGACAGCGTTGGAGTACGGACTAACAGGAAGTTCCGGACAGCTTCCAATTAGCTCGATTTCCTCGGGGGTGGGAACGTACTTGCTGCTAGCCTCCGACGCACGCCCAGAAGGGTTCTCGCCCCTCCCCCCAGCCCTCAGCTGACGATTGACTGGCCCGCGTGGCCGCTCCAGGCCCCGCCCATACCTGCCTCCCGGGTTTCGCAGACCGAGCGCTCCAAGCCTTGGCGGTCGCGGCTTGGACAGACGAGCTGTCAAGGCAATGACTGAGCACAAAGCCCCCACCTAAGTGGAATATAAATTTCCACGGAAGGAAGGGGCCGTAGCGATCCTCTAATCCAAACCCTCATTTTACAGAGCAGGAAACTGAGTCACAGAGAAAGGAACTGCTTTGCTAGAGGCCACCAAAGTGTCACACAGGACATCCGAACCCAGGGAACCATTATGGTTTAGAACACGCTCGGGTGGCTAAGACTGGGAGCCGAGATCCCCCTCCCCCCTGAAGATCTTGAGCCGTCTCAGGAACTCCCGAGGAGGAGACTCTTTCCACCTATACAGAGCGCCACCCGCTCTCCACCTGACCATTGCAGTTTGCTGAGGCTCTAGGCTCCTACTGCTCGTAGCTGTCAGTCGTGGCTCCTGACCCCGGGAAGGCCTGCTGTTTGGCACCTAAGCTAAGCTGCCTCTGCTAGAGGGACAGTGTTAAGCCCGGGGCTCGGTAGTCAGAGGGACTGGATTCTCTTCCCACCTCTGAGGCTTACAGCGCATGTGCAAGTCACATCGCCTCCCTGGCCCCACTTTCTTCTTCTTAAGCCAGTTGATAGGTGAAGATCTTCCAGCGTTATGATCTATGATCCTGTGTAGAGACTGTAAAATCCCCTATTTTAATTGAACAATAAAGGATAAACCTCAATGTTTAGTTACAATATTGGTGAGATCTGAAAGGTCTCCTTTTTGTTTTTTTTAATTCAATTTTACTTTCGGTTCCAAATTATCTCCCTCTTCTCACCCGTCACAATTTCCCCTGCTCTTTTCTCTTTAAGAAAGTATACATTGGGGGCAGCTAGGTGGCACAGTGGATAGAGCACCAGCCCTGCAGTCAGGAGGGCATGAGTTCAAATTTAGCCTCAGACACTTGACACTAGCTGTGTGACCCTGGGCAAGTCACTTAACCTCATTGCCTAGCCCCCAAAAAAAAACCCAACCCCAAAAAACCACTTAGTATACATTGTCAGAATTAGGAGGAGCTTTAGAACTTATCTTTCCTAACTCACCCTTTTTACAGATGAGGAAACAGGTTCAGGGAAAGGATGGGACTTGTTTTGAAGTCATCCAGCTAGTTAGTGGCAGAGCTTTCTGAAGCGCTACTTGTTTTTCTCTTTCTGCTACATTGCTCTGGACTGGTTTTTCCTCTCCTCTTACGCACTTTACTTTTAGGTTAGACTCTCTGGGAGCCTACTTTTAAAGTCTGGAGGATAGTAAATTTGAGTTTGGTTAGTCTAGGAAAGGGAAAAGAGTGGTTCCTGTCAATACTTTGTGCTTCACCGAAGCAAAGAGTGGAAGGATTTGGGAGGCTGTAGAGAAGTTGAGAATAAAGAAAAAACCAGGGAGAAAGTTCCACTCGTAAATTTGGATCAATTAAAATTTTAATTTCTGTTTCTCTCTTTAGCCTTCAGAATCGCAATACTCTCACTAGTTCAGTCAAAGATGGGAAATAGATGAAGAAATCCCACACTTATTATGAGGATCAAATAAGTCAACATAGGTGAAGCACTTTTTAAACTTTATAGCACTGTATAAATGCTAAGCTGTTGTTATTGTAGTTAATTTTAATTTAGCGTTGGCTTTAGTCTTCAGCACCTCGGTCAGTTCAAGCAACTCTAAAGAGGTCTGAAGTCCAGGGTATAAATTCTAGCTCTGCTAATTTTGTGACCTTGGGCAAGTCTCTACCGGCTTCAATTTCCTCATAATGTCAACTACTCTGATTGCCCTTAAGGGTCGTGAGGATCACACGAGATGACGTAAGCAAAGTATTTTGTAAACCATTAAGAGTTATACAGAGAGGCTGCTGGAGTCAGGGATAGAAGATAATAAGCCCTGGAGTGAGGAAGACCTAGATTCTCTCACACATACGTGTGACCATGGGAAGCGCCTCGTGAAACTGTATGACTACAAGTTATACACGATCTGTATTGGTGGAGGACAACCCCACACCAGGAGTTCTTCATGCTCTCGAAGTCACTGGTCTGGAGCCCCCAAAAGGCATTCTTTAAATGTGAGTTGCTATTATTGAAATACAAAAGCATTCATTAAATAACTACTGTGTGTACAACGTTGTGTCAGGTGTCGGGGGTTGATATAAAATTGGGGCAAGAAACAAGTTTCTGTCTTTAGAGATCATAGCTTACAAGGGGAATGAGATACTGGTACAAATAGAGATTGTGTCTCATGTTAGAGAAGAAAACAAAACGAAATGTAAAGTTTTTAAAAGGAAGATTTTTATAAAGGAAAAAGGGAGGCTTCAGGAGGGATGTGGACCTTGGAGGATTTGTAGGAATTTGGTAGAAGAGGGGGAAAGAGGACATTTCAGGCCCGGCATAGAGCCTGAGTTAAGGCAGGGAGACCAGAAAGTGTGCTTCCTGCTTACAGGAAGGAAGCTCCCACACTCAGCTTGGTGGGATCAATAGATCTAATGGAGATTAATAAAAGAGGTTGGCAAAGGTTGGGCCAAGGAGTGCAGGAGCTAGCTCTGGGCAGATTTTCAGTGAGAATATTTACACTTCAAAAATGGGCATTCGCCACAAATCAGGGTTTGATTTTGTTGATTGTCTAGATTTAGGGGACACAGATAAAACGTACAGGTGTCTTGCACACATTTGGGGGGCAGAGGAGCGCTGGTTACTAAACATTTGCCAGCTCGTTGCTGGCTGGGGCCCTCCGAGCTCCCCGCCGCCATAGGTGAAGAGCACTCTCCCCGTGAAGTTGCTTTCCGGGGGTCGCGGCGGGAGGGCGGGGGTCTTTCCAGCCTAGTGTCCGTGGCCCCAGGCTGAAGAAGCGATGCCCCCCGGCCCGGCCCCGCGCAGCCCCCGAAGGCCCAGCGGAGCCTGCTCGGGGCTGCAGAGCCGCGGTTCCGCTCTCTCCGCCGCTCGCCGGTGACCCTGGCCAGCCGTGGCCGTGGCTGGGCCCGCCGGGCCGGCAGAGAGCGCTGCCGCCGCCGCCGCCGCCGCCGCCTTCGCTGCCGCCGGGGCCCCTCGCGCCGCCTTTCCGGCCGCCTCGCTCGCCCGCCGGCCCGGCCTGGCTCCTCCCCCGGCCCCGGAGAGGGGCGCGGCGGCGGCGGCGCGGCGGCGGCGGCGGGGGCGGCGGCGGGCCATGAGCGCGGCCGGCCTCTAGCCGCAGCCGCAGCGGCCGCCATGAAGCGGGACCGCCTGGGCCGCTTCCTGTCCCCGGGGGCGGCCGGCAAGCGCGGGCTCGCGGCCGCCGCCACGAGCGGCCCCGGCGCCCGGGCCCGGGCCCCGCGGGCGGGAGGAGGCGGCTCCGGGACGGAAGAGGACGGCGAGGGGGCGGCAGAGGCCCCGCCGCGGCCCGGGGGCAGCTGGGGCGCGGGGCCGCCCCGCGGCTGTGGGGACGACGAGGACGACGACGAGGCCGCGGCCGCGACCGTGAGCGAGGACGGCCCCGACGAGGCAGGTGGGTGCCGGCCGAGGCCCGCGCACAGGGTTCTGAGCCGTGGGTTCGAGTCCCCGCCGCGCCGCCCCTGAGCCTGGCTCTGGCCCTCCGGGCCGGGCTCCCAGCAGGCAGGGACCTGCCTTCTCCATTCCGAAGCCTGTTTCCTCACCTCCTGGAGTTTTACTGGGGGCGGGGAGGGTGCTCTGTGAGCCTCAAACCTCGCCCTCACCCCTAGTACTTTATCATCATCATCATCATCATCATCGCCATCATCATCATCATCATCATCGCCATCATCATCACCATCGTGTCCAACGCTCTTAATTGACAGATGAACAAACTGAGGCCCGGAGAGGGAATCGGCTTGCCCAAGGTCACCCAGCTAGTCTCCCAGTCTTTTCCTATCACATTAGGGTTCCTCTCACCATACGTTGTTGGAGAAATCCCTAGGAATCCCCCCAACTCGATAATAAAGTCACAGACGTCCGAGTGGTCGCCGGCTTTGTCCTCCCTCCCTGCAGGAGCCCCAGAAAGCTGCCTCCCAACTGGCGGGGATTATGGACTCCAAGGATTTAGCGCTGGAAGGGGCCCTAGAGATCATTTAGTCCAGTACTGATGCTCACAAAAATTAAGTGACTCGTCCAAGGTCAGAGGGCTTGGCAGACCCCTGCTCAGTCAGGTGCCAGCCTGTCCTCTCAACTGTCAGATTTGCTCAAATTCTGATCCTCTGCTGTCTGTCCTGAGAGCTTTCAGACAGTGGTCACTTGTGTTGCACATCTGAAATGGTATCCCAGACCTATCACAGTAGCCTTTGTCACAGCCTGTCACATCTTTAGCCTGTTTTTTTCAGGTCACCATCTATCTGTCCATCCCCACATCTTCCTTCAGTCACTGGAGGAAGTGTGCTTCTTCCTTAGCATATGTGTGGTACCTTTATCCCCCAGAGTTCTTTCTCTTTCATGATTCTTTTCACTGTAGCTATTTTCACTATATCACAGGATCATTTCTGTACAACCAGCCCCCACACAAACACACACAATCAATTCTCTCTTCTCTCAGTTGGGAGAACTGAACAGTTATCAATTAGACAATTAATCCTCAGTGAACTGATGCTATGGGAGGCACTGGAACTTGACGCAGTGATTCTAGGCTATGTGGTCAGGCCCACATACAAGTATTAAAAAATATTCTGTTCGAACTGATCAACTGAAGTCAGCTTGGAA